GTCGCATTGGCGTCGGTTGTCACGTCCCTGTCGTGAATCGCTTGCGTAGCGACACCCCCCGCGTTGTGAAGACCGTTGGCTTCCTGATCCGCGGGATGGCGATCGGCCACGGCTGTCCTGGCTGGAAGTCCGTGGTCGACTCGGGCTTCGTTCAGGAGTCTTTGCACCAGGTGCGAGATGAGCGTATTTGCATTTGTCGCCTTTTGTGCACTTGTTCTGTGCGAAATCCTTGCACTGTGCGACGTGCGGGTAGTTGCACTTATCACCTCTGGTACATGTGTTGCGCTTGGCAAAATCGAAGCAGAATGGCCTTGATGCTGGCTTCTTGTGATTCGCAGGAGTGGACATACTACGGCGGGGGTTGCCACCAGCCGTTGATGTTCTGGAAGATTTGCTGTTCTTCCAATCCCTGGAATATGTATGTAAAGCCTTGCACCGTTCACCATTGCGACAATTGCCTTTCTTCCATGCAGCGCGCAGGTTGACCTGAGATCGTGTTTCGTGTTCGTACCGTAGCTTGTTTTGATTCTTCTCCAATTGTTTAATCTCCAGTATGTCCAGAACACGCTGTCGAAGCCAACCGTAGGTACGATTCGGGTCGCTCATCTTCATGCGCTGGTACTCGTACATGTCTTGTTTCATCCATGCATGTCTACGAACCTGTGTGCGGAATAGCGATTCCAATATCTTTGGATCGGGTACTTCTCGGCATTCCAAGAGTAAGGCGTCCCAATCGGTAATGAAACGTTGCAAATCTTCGTCTCTCATCCTCAGTTCTTTAAGGCGCTCGAAATCGTGCAGGTCGTCGTCGACGTCTGTCACTTTGTACGACTGTAGAATATGCCAGTATATCTGGCGTCCTTTGAGCATGCGTCCTGCGTTGTGCTCTCTGGTCTCGATGAGCCTGATTTGGTAGCGTAAGTCTGAGGATAAGATGTCGCTTAGAGCGGTTGCGAGTTTGCAATCGATGCTCTCAAAGTCTCCACTGTCTTGTAAATCCTCGAGTATACATTCGGGCTGTTCTGCCACGCATAGGAAGGCGTATGCTTTGGATGGTCGCCCTGAGGCGGCCCCAAAGTTCTCTCGCACTCTTTGCTGCCATTCCAGCAGCTGCGTGATCTTAGGCAAGACAGGTACTCGAACGGTGTCTGACTCCTTGATAGGCGTCGTTGTATGTACCGACACCGCAGACACTGGTTGTGAGGGTATCGGTGCACCGTCGATGGTTGGTTATGTGCGCATAGGCGACACATGACGTGTCTGTGCAGAAGCTGCCACTGAGGCTGCTCCTGGAGATGTACGTCGTTGTTGTCCTGCTGAAGCTTGTGGTGCTTCGGCGGACGCTGCCGTCGGCCTGTGCAGGTCGGCTGCAGGTCGAAGGTGAATGTTGGTGTCGTTAGTGTGGTCGATCAGCTGATTGGTCCAGCTCGTCATGTCTTCTTGTATGTGACCCACCTTTTGGCGTGTATACTAATCAGTACCCCGAGACCGTTGGGAATACCGATCAAGTCGATGCTCGCATGCTCGGAGACGGGCGCTTTGTGCCTCCACCTCGCTTTCCAGACGTGCGAGATAACTCTCAACACGTACCTTCTCAGTATCTCTTTCATGAATAACCTGGGAGAGCTCTAACTGCGTGTGGTCCGCCGCCTTCTCAACCTCCTGCAACCTGTCAGTGAGGCGGGCGAAATCGTAAACCGTGGGAGGAGAATCCAGCTGGCCAGTCTGGGCTCGTCCGACACGCAACTCTGCCAGGGCGTCCTGTACACCAGGAAAACGCTGCTCTATGTCAGAGATCCGGTTAGCGAGTGGCTGCACGACAGCGTTGGTCGCATCAAGCCTTTGAGTGATGACTCTCTCAGTACGCTGCAACATGTCGATCAGGTTCGACGAGTTTGTGTGTGCTTCGGCACGAAGCGTCGCCGTAGTGTGGTCTAGGTAAGATCGAAGATCATTGATCTGAGACTGAACGTCGCCGAGGTCTGTGGCCTCGGTTGGGGTTGGTCGGTTACGGAGCTGGTCGTGGATCTCATCGTGTAAAATCCTGACCGCAGAAATGCCTGTGTCGCGTACGATCACAAGTTGTTGCTCCATCTGCGCGAGATAGTTGCGCAGGTTCTCGACCATCGCCGTTCGTTCACCTGAGTGTGACACCTCACGATCAACCTGGTACTGCAGTTCTCCTATGATGCGACGATCTTCGGCGATCCTGGAATCGATGATCCCTAAGGCGCCGTCAAGATCGCGACGTATGGCTGCAGTATCAGTGGCGTTCGTCTGAACGCTCTGTAGTAGTCCAGAGTATTGGCTGGACACGAAGGTTTCAACCTGGTCTCTGAGCTCAGCTATGTCACCTGCGGCGGACGTCTCCGCCAGCTGGTCGTCTGAGATGGAGAGGTGGGGAGCGTCAGCTTCCCTGTGTCCCCTGTCGCGGGGAGTGCATGGCCTCTGAGAGGCAGTGCGCGGGCTCGACCTGCTCTCGCCGTATGGGCCTGGGGCTCCACGGCGGTTGCGCACGGACGAGCTGCGACTCGGACCATGGGTGTGTGGTGTCTCATCCGATGATACCTTGGGGTACCGCGTCTGTGGCTGTGCCGACACTGGTCTACTGAGTTCCTCGAAGGTAGCTACGTGCTCCGCTACAGGGACGGTCGCAGGGCTGGTGGTCCCAGCACCTGAGGTCCATCGGCGGTTAGCGCGAAAGCGCCCTGGAGTATCGAGACCGGTAAGGCTTTCGCCCGACGCGGTTGGGATTGCTCCCGACGGGGAAGGGGAGGGAGGATCGAAGGTCGGCGTGTGAAACTCCTTCCTTCCTGTTCCTACTCCTTCTCCTGTCCCCCCGCGGGCGGCGCTGCGGCGAAGTTCAGCAGCTAGACGCGCCTCGGGTCCTCGGGAGCTGGGGGGGGGTATCGGGGACACCAACACAGTCCGCACTAATGCTCTCCAACTCGTCACCGAGCCGTCGCACCGTGGGAGAGCTTGGACGCGAAACCCCAATGGAACCCTTACGGCGCATGCGCCGAAGCGGCTCCATTGGGCTCGCATGCAAGGTCACCGCGGGCGAGTCGGTGAAGGTGAGCGTTAAAGGGCTGATAACCTGTGTATGGGGTTGAAGTACAAGAGTACAGAACCCCTGATCCGTTGGTAGAGAGATGGAGGGATAGATGGATATCTTTCCCTCCCAAGCGATCAAGGTACGATCGCTCCAACTCAGTACCTGAGCCCAAACGGCCAGGTGCGGGAGAGGTAAGGATAAGGAGTATATATGAGGGTATTACACGGGTTCCATACACACCTCCCCCGCCTCGCCCCTTCCTCCTCCTCCTCGTCGTCCTCATCCTCCTCCCCCTCCTCTTCCTACACCAATTCACCCCCCTCCTCCTCAACCTCTCACCATCATCCTTCGTGTCATCGTCGTCGTGGTCTTGGTCGTCGAAGTCGGAGTCATGATCGACGGAAGCGTTTACGCTTTCGAAACTGAAATCGTGGCCGTCTTGGTCGTGGAGAACGTCGTCATGGCCTTCCTGCTCGGTCTACTTCCATCCCGCTCCGCCCCCCCTCCCCTCCCCTTCTCTCCTGATCCTTCCTCGCTCCATATACTTCTCTTCCTCCCCACCCACCCTCCCTGATGTTCCCCATGTTCCTCCTTATTCTCGTCCTTCCCCACCCCCTCCCTCCCGCCTCCTTCCCCCTCCTCTCCTCCCGATATCCTCCCGCCTCCAGGTTTTCCCCCGACCTGATCCTGCCCCCCTCCTCCTTCAATCTCCCGCTGGTTCTTATATTCCTCCCCTCCCCCTCTCCTGCCACTGCCCATAAACCGAGGGGCGGCCAGGACAGGGGCGAGAGGAGAGGGAAAAGCAAAGCAAAATGCAGGGACGCAGGAGGAAACGGAAGAGGTTGGGGGGTCAGGGCCGGCCGACCTTTCCCTCGCTCGATACCCCGTCTCCCTCTCCTCCTTTTCATCATTCCCTGTTCTTCCCCCCCTTCTCCTCAGGTGAACGTGTTCTTCTTCGGCGTTTCGACATTGGGCGGGAGGGGGGGGGACTGGCCATCGCTCGGACGTCCATTCCCTGTGTTTTTTTTGGTTCCGTGCGTGGTGTTTTTCGTCCAGATGACCAAGGATGCTCCTCGATGGTCTTCGCCGAAGGAAACATGCACACGTCCGAGCGATGCCAAGGGGAGGGGGGGGGGCTCTGGACCTCCGCTTGCATTCGACGGCTTGCAGCAGAGCGTCCGTCCCGTGGGGGAAACAGACACCACTTGCTGGAGACGGGCGCTGACAACAGCCACGATCTAATGCGGGATGACGGTTAATAAAAAATGTGAGAGAACGATTGAACACATCGTTTTCTGCTATTTCTGCACAAATTTCTGACTGGAGGAGAACGATTATAAAAACAGTTGTCCAGCCCACTGCCGGTTTTTTCTAATCGTCATCCCGGGTGCCGCCGCGTGAACACGACCCCCGGTCATTATTATTCGTCATCCTCCATTACTCCACGGGTTTGGGGAGGGGGTGCGAGGGCCCGCGCCGATCGGCAAAGCCATGACTGAGGCAACGACCATCATCCTGCTCCTCCTGCTGCTGCTCAGCCTTCCGCTCCCCTCGGACTCGTCCACCCTCCCCTCGTCACCAGGAGGCCGGTTCGCCCACTCGGGCCACGATAGCGCAGCGGCTGGAAAGCTCCTCCCATCCTCTCCCTCCTTCGGCGGCGAGCGAGGGGGGAAATTGAGAAGGAGAGGGCCTTCTCAGAAGGCTCGGAAGTCCTCCGACCCTCTGAAAAGTTTCCAGAGCCTTCCCCCGAGACGCAGAAAACTGCTCAAAGGACGGAGGGCTTCTGAGAAGTACCGCCGCCTTCTGAGGAGGCCTTCTCCTTCTCGTGTCCCCCCTCGCTCACCGCCGACTCCGACCTTCCAACCCTCCCGATCATTCAACGCCCCTGCCCTCCTCCTCCCCTCCCACCTTCTCCCCTCCTGCAGAGCGAGGAGATGCGTGGCTCCTTGCCGACATTGGGTATGACGGTCTCGAGCAGCTCCTGGTCCAGGCGGACAAGGTCCTTGCTGTCCGACATCCTCCAGAGAGTCCGAAGACTCACCAGAACACCCATGTCTCTCGCCTCCGCTCCCTTCCCGCGCCCTCACCTTGCTGTCTCCCGTCTCTTCTGCATCCCCTCTCCATGATGCTGCTGCCGATGCGATGTGTGCTCCTGTCTCAGTCTCTGTCTCTCTTTCTCTCTCTCTCTCTTGTTTCCTCTCTCTCTATATATATTGATCGCTGTCTCTCTCTCTCTCTCGCGCTCTCTCTCTCTCTCTCTCTTTGCCTGTCTCGCTCTGCTCTCTCTCTCTCTGTCTATCTGTATCTCTCTCTGCCACTCTCTCTCTCTCTCTCTCTCCCCCAGTCCCTTGCGACTCGCACGACGCCAAGCTCTAGAATTAACCACTCCTCACGCGCTTTGCGCTTGCCATGTGGTTTATCACTGCACGTCGGCGAGCGGCAAAGTGCGCGAATTGCCCGCAGACCCACCCAAAATGCCCGCGGACAGACAAGTCCCCACCTCGCGCGTTTAACGCCCTCCATGCGCAGGCCCAGCGATAGCCTCAATGTGAGGGTTCGCCTGCCGAGCGCGGACCCAGAAAAGCCAATGTTGAGCGCTCGAACAAGTCAAAGGGGGCCAAACTCAGCATTGCCCACCGCTCGCGCTCTTCGCCAACGCTACCACATACACAGGGGGGGGGCCTTCTCAATCTCCAGTGGCAGGTCTCGCTGGCAACCTGCGCGGCAGAAGGCAAAAACAAAACCCGTCGACCCGAGATGCAGAAGCGTCTCTCCCCTTGGTCTCCAGCGCGAGGTTTCGCGAGGAACGAAATCTCGTAGGCTCGTGCGCAAGCGGGGGCAAGGCAGAGCCAGAGCGATCGGGCCAGAGGCCACTGGGTGCCATCGCTCAGGGGGGCATGGCCGTGGTATAAAGGCCCACCAATAGTCAGCTTAGCTGCCCCGATACGCAACACGCAACACGTACCGCATCGATACGGAACTCAACACGTAGGCTGAAAACGTGGGTCCGACGCGACACGTTCGCCAAAACGTTGTCCAAAACGTGGAGCCAGCACGCAACGTACTGGCACGGACACGTCTTGAACACGGGGCGTGCTGCGTTTCAAAACGTGCGCATCGAGGCAACTAAGGTAGTCAGGCTTTCACTATTGCGTCATCGCTCGGACGTCCATTCCCTGTGCTGTTTGTTGGTTTCGTGCGTGGTCTTTTCGCCAAATGATCAAGGATGCTCCTCGATGGTCCTCGCCGAAGGAAAAATGCACACGTCCGAGCGATGCCAAGCCATTGCGTCCTGACGTCGGCGGTGAACTGGTCGTGCACCTCGGGGAAAAACATCGAGCGCGCCGACGCCAAGCCCAACCTGGGCTCGTCCTGGGCTCTCTCGGCCGGCCCGCGGCCCCCTCGGGGGCCGGGCCAAGACCTGCACCCGGGGCGGGCCTGACCGGGCTCCGGTGCCACGGCAGGGCTGCTGGCGGGGTGGCGTAGGCTTGCGTTTGGGTGGCCCAAAAGGGGGTCCAGCTGAAAGGGGGTGGTGCAATAGATTTGGGGCAATGGTGTCGCACATGTATTGCGCCAAAGAACTGTATTGCATTGGGTTGCAAGTAACCTATTGCACGCGGAAGTCCAGCAATACACTTGCGCCCCGGGATGTATTGCACACCTCAAATGTAATGCAAACCCACAAATCTATTGCACCAACTCTATTGCACCACCCCCTTGTCGCTGGACCCCCTTTTGGGTCAACCCGATTGCGACCACCCAGGGCGCCTTCTCAATCTGGCCCTTTCTCCTGTAATACTTCCCGTTGGCAAGGTCCTCGTGCATGACCTTGACAATCAGGCCCGCGGCCAGCCAGGGCTGCCCGCCCTCCGGCGACGGCGACGTCGACCCCGGGGACGGTGGTCTCCTTGTGGTGGCACCGTGAACGGGCGAGCTGGCCTCGAGACTCCGAGCACAGAAACACACCGCAGTCGCAGATAGGAGTGGGGCCCCTCCCCCCTCCAGCTGCGGGCGCCGACCTGTCCGTGAGTCGATCGAAGCGTCGCGAAGAGACGCGCCGCAAGCCGAGCTTACGCAGCACGCCGAACGCGTGGAAGCTGCGCCAAGGAACGATGGCGACCAAGAGCTCGCCGCCGTAGGGCTCCACGGCGGGGGGCCCTGGGCCCCTGCCTCCTCCCCCCCCCCCTGCCTGGGCCCTGGCGAGCCCCCACCCCCCCGGTCCCCACGAGGAGGCCGCAAGGCCCTCCGAGCTGGGACCCGCTGGGCGCCCCCCCCCGGCAGGGAAGAGGAGGCGCAGGGCACCCATCGGCCGGCTCTTGAAGTAGGGAGGCGGCTAAAGTAGATTGGAATCTGGGAATCCCAGAATACCTATTTTCAACGACCGATGGGTAAGGAGGAGGAGGAGGTACATGTAATGACGGTTTCTCGCCCCGAACAAGCCGACATCTAAGCAAGCAGTTTCAAGCTGATCCGCGTGAGCGGACACCTCACACTTCAACACACACTTTTGGTGGGAATGCCACCAGCACTGACACTAATCATGACGTGCATAATCCTATGCACATGTGGCCGTGTCTGCACCAGCAAAGGCACCCAACCAACCTTCCCGTGCGGTGAATATGTTTGTCGCCTGGCTGCTCGTCTTCTATCGCGCCACCTCCATTGACAACTCTGCAGCCACTCTCCCATCATTCCCCCCACCATGTCTCTCAATTCGCCGGCCCAACGGGCCAGAGGCGTGCTAAGTTCTCTGGCAACTACTTAACAATATTTCTAGTTCGCGCGCGCGGGGAGGCCCCTGGGGAGCCCCGGACGAAAAGTACCCCGGCCGATCCCCGGCTGATCCCTGGGCGATCCCCAGGGGGGAGGCTATTTTTCGCCACCCCTCACGAGGATCGTGGCCTCCGAGGGGGGGGGGGCTGCCAACGACTACCCCCTCCCGCCCAAAGGGGCCCCCAAGAGCCCCCCAAGAGGCCCCAAGGGAGCCCAATGCGCCGCCAAGGAGCCCCAAGACGCTCCCAAGAAGCCCCCAAGACGGCCCCAAGAGGCCCCAAATAGCGCTCCAGGGCCCGCGGAATGAGCGAAGCGATTAAATAATCCTTTACTCCTCTGTTGAGCGTTCTCTCAAACCTCGGTCGAGCGTCCCCCAATCTACCCCTGCAAGTCTCCAACACTGTGGCACCCGCAGGGACAACACCAACAGCAGAAGCGACTCCAGCCGCGGGCAACTCATTGTATTGCTACGTGTGCTCGATCCACGCACGCCCACGTGCGACCTCCGCAGGCCTTAAGTCGGGCGTGTCCCCCTGCAGGGGGATTCTCGACGACAAATAAAAAATACTAGAAACATACTCCCAAATGCAAAAAATACTCAAAACTAGTCCCCAGACTATTTTTTGACTATTTTTGAATATCCCCCCTGTAGAGGGACAGGCCCGCCTTAACGCAAGCAACATAAGTACTGGCTGCAGACGTGTGGATTCATGAGCTGCTGGACTCGCAGGGACCCGCGGAATATCGTGCGCTTGAACATTTGGGGAAGCCAGGGAGCCAGGCCGAGAAAAGGCCCACGGACCCCAGACACCCCAGCGACATCAACCATGTATGCGCAATCAGTGTATGCCCTGCCCCCATGCACTTGCAACGTCCCACGCCACAAGTTTCCCCCGAGCGTCCCACCTTAACCGTCTCACTCCCCCCCCGGCTCAAAGCTACTTCACCGTTGCCGGGCAAAGGAAGCCGCTGCAGCCCCTGGCGACAGCACAGTCCTGCAGGACAGGCGCGCAAGGACGCGCAACGAGCACATCGAGCATGAGTGCGGCGTGCGCCGTGCATGACTGGATCAGAATCGGGAGCGGCCAAGAGGGGGGTGTCCAAGAGGGGGGGTGCAAATCATGGCCAGCGGCATGTGCGCGGCCCAGCGGGGGGCCCAGGGACGTAATAAAATGAGAAGAGGCGCCATGAATCTGGGGAACTATCATGGCCCACGCCATGATATCCCCCCCCCTAGTCATCACCCCCCTCTTTTTCCGCCCCCGACAGAAGGCCATGCTAAGCAACCACAACCGCAGCGCCCAGCGCACGCTGCGGGTGGGGGCGAAGGCCCGGGCGGGCGAGGCGCCACTACCCAGAGACACGGAGGGCTGCAGGAAGCTTCTGGAGTCTCAACGGCAGGTGTGGCCTCGATCAAACCTTCGAGTGCGCTTACGTTGGGAGCCCGTGCGTCTCGGGGAAGGTGGACGACTTGGGGTGCTTCTGTGTTGCAAAGGTATTCGGGCGCTTGGCGCAAGGTGGGGTAGCCTGCGGGGTGGTTGGCAGCAGGTTTCGGCGATGGGGGGCGGGCGAGTTTTGGGGGCTCAGCGGGGCCCATGTTGGGCTCTCTGGAAGCTCTCATGGGGCCTGCAGGGGCCCCACGCCGACGGGGACACCTCCGAGGCGACTCGCCCATGATGAGGGCCCTCACCACCTCCTCGCGGGGGCCCCTCTTGTGCCTCTTGGCGACGAGCACAAAGGGGGGAAGTGAGAGGCGGCATGCCTTCTCAGAAGGCGCCGTGTTTTTTTATCAGAAGCCCTCGTGCATGATGAAGGCTTCTTGGCCTTCTCCGACAACGCAGACGGCTTGCCCAAAGGCGCGAGAGTTGTCGAGACGCCGCGCCGCCTTCTGAGAAGGCCTACTCCCTGTCAGTTCCCCCAAGCTCGCCGCCGAGCGTCCACTCGGGGACACGCGCCCAGCTCCTCGCGTCGACCCGCTGCCTCTTGGCGCCGTCGCCCCTCTTCGAGGCCTCGTGCTCAAGCCTGACGGCCTCCACGGCCGATATCTTCGGCGCCTGCTTGCGCTTCTGCCCGTCCTTGGAGGGTTTCTCCTCGGACTCGTCGTCCTTGGGTGCCGCTTCCGACCAACGTCGATGAGAGCCGGATCCCGATCTCAACACAGCACGCCTCATCACCTGACCTTGACGGATCCACTCATCAAAGACCCATCATCCACGATCGGCCCCGATCGACACTCGCCTGTGTCCAATCAAGGCCGCACCTTGAGTACCAACGGCCAATAAGACGTGACCAATAAGACTGAGCTACAGCAGTCGACGTGCTCATATGTGCCCCGCACAAAGCGATGGACGCACACTGCATCATGCAGCCGATCGAATACCGATCAGCGGCCCGCGATCCAAGATCGAGCCCGATCACCAGAGCAAGGTCTTCTGAGCGCTCGTCCCCGAAGAGCTCGGCGACCCCTTTTTTTCTGGCGGGCGGCGCGCTGGGCGCCGCCGCGGCCGAGCTGGAAGAGGCGGACATGCCGAAGGAGATGGGCGCGTCGCCTTCCTCCAGCACCAACGCAGGGCACAACCAAACCTTCTGAAGATTATACTTGGCGGCTAGGTGGGCTGGGGGCAGACGTGGGGCTCTCTCGTCCTGGCCCGGCAATGTCAAGAGACCTGGCGCGAGATTCCAGCGGTAATATGCAGAGCCACGCTGGCCCAACTCCGACAAGGCCAGATGATTTGTGATTCCTTCGCGATTGGGAGTCGGACCATGTGCAGCCACAGGACTGTTCCCTTCTGGCTGTCTGCCCAAGAACAAAAGCAAGGGGCCCCGCTGACAAGCTGGTCGGGGAAGCACCACCTTGAGCTTCCATACCCCATAGGCCTAAAGCAAACATACATAGTGACTCGGAATTCACAGCTCCAGCGTGAGCTGAGATGGTCCCAGGGGCTCGTGCTGGAGCCGACTTGAGTCTCTTGTCCCTGGGGCCCTTTTGAAGCTTTCGGGGCAAGCCCAAGAGGCAACATTAGTAAAACACCAACACCAACACCAACACCAACACCATACATGTTAAGACGGGTTGCGCTCGCGTGCTCGCGCGTCAATCGACATGTAACCCCCAGACCGTCGATACCCGCTACCTTTGTTTCCGATGCTGACCCTCTTGGGGGTTTATCTCCCTGGGTTGTCAGGCTCGGTTGTGACCCCCCCGTTTTAAAGAAAACGGCATGGCTTCTCCCAACTCCTGTTCGCTCCTCCGTTCCCTCCTAAGTATGAGCTGTTATTATTATTCCTCCTCCTCCTCCTACTTCCATAGTCTCTCTCCTGTTCCCTCTCTCTCTCTCGGTTCTCCCTCCTCCTCCTCGCCCTCCTCCTACTCCTCCTCCTCCTCCTTCGCCTCCTCCTCCTTCTTGCCCAACTCCACCCACTAAGCAACAACCATGGGGAAACACAGAACAAGGACAGCAACGCAACACAACAATCCTGAGGCGTTCCCCCCTCCACCCCCCACCCGCCAAAGACACCGCCCCAGGATTATCTGGTTTGCGTGTGTTGTTGGTGGTGTTGTTTGGCAGTTCCTCAGGATGTACTCGATTCTGCTCCAGAAGGAGGTTCTGATTTGGGAAACAAGGGGGGAGGAGGAGCAGGAGGAGGAGGAGGAGGAGGACGAGGACAAGGAGGAGCAGGACGAGGTGGACCAGGAGCAGGAGGAGGAAGGGGGACTGCGATTGCAATTGCGCTGCATGTGGTGACCAAGAGCAAGCCTGGGGATGAGGAATGGAGTAAGAGGTGGAGGAAGAAGGGGAGGAAAAGGCGCATCAGCAAGAGAAAGGGTGGACGAGGAGGCGGAGGCGGAGGACCAGGAGGACTGGTCATTCCACCATTCCTTCTCCTCCTCCTCCTCCTCCTCCTCCACCTTCTCCTCGTCCTCCTCCTGCTTCCCTCCACCCTCTTTATATCGCTCTTCGCTTCACCTCCTTACTTACCAACTCTACCGCGGCCCCTCCATTCCCCCTTGTGAGACGAGGAGGAAGGCGAAGCGAACTATATCAGAGTGAGGGGGCCGAACGGTCATTCATTGTCCCTGGGTGCGTGGCTCTAGTGGGGATCCGCGGTGATGATTATGCTTGTTGCGTTGTTGTTGTTGTTGTGGTTGTTGTTGTTGTTGTTGGTGTTGGTGTTGTTGTTGTTGTTGTAGTTGCTGTTGTTGTTGTTGTTAATGTTGTTGTTGTTGTTGTTGTTGTTGTTGTTGTTGTTGTTGTTGTTGTTGTTGTTGTTGTTGTTGTTGTTGTTTGTTGTCGTCGTCCCCCCTGCGACCCAACCCGCGAACCGCCCGCGACCCACCTCGCGACCCACCCCGCGACCCAGCCCGCGCCCCATCCGCGACCAACCCGCACTGACCCGGTGACCCACCCGCGACCCACCCTGCAACCCACCCCGCGACCCACCCTGCGACCCACCTCTCGACCCACCCTGTGACCCACCCCTCGACCCACCCCGCGACTCACCCCGCGACCCACCCCGCGACCCACCCCGCGACCCACCCCGCGACCCACCCGCGACCCACCCGCGACCCAACCCGCGACCTACCCGCGACCCACCGGCGACTCATGCGCGACCCACCCGCGACCCAACCCGCGATCCACCCACAATGCCTCAACGAAAAAATCGGCGCCTGCGGCGGGCTCAATGCATAATTTGTAGTAAAAGTTAGGCGCCTGCGGCGGGCTTCTCTAGAGCCTCGCAGACTGAGGACGTCCTCATAGCAATTGCGGTGTGTTGCGTAATAGTAATACGAGTACTAATGCTAATACTACCACTCATAATGTGATACTAATAATAGTAATAATAATGATAATAATTGTAGTAATAATAATAATCATAAGACTGAAAAATAATGATGGTGATAATGATGATGATGATGATGATGGTGGTAATAATAAGAAAAATAATAAGAAAAGTAACAATAATAATAATGGTAAGAATAAGAATAATAAGAATAATAATCATAAGACTAAAAATAGGGATGACGATGGTAATAGTAATGATGATAATAATAATACGAACAATACTAAAAACAAGTAGTAGCAATCACAACCATAATAATAACAATCGTGATACAAGGGGTAGAGGAAGAAGAGGTGTGATACGATTTGCAGCGGGGATGGACTAGCAAACTGAGGAGGAGGAAGAGGAAGAGGAGAAGGGCGCGGGGGAAACACCCATCCCCATCGCCATCCTGATCCATTCGCCCCTCCTCTTGCCCGTCATCATTGCGTATACATATACACGTAACACCCCGCAATTGCGGATACGAGTGATGGGGACATCTAGGACGTCCTCAGTCCGCGAGGAACTGGAGAAGCCCGCCGCGGGCGCCTAACATGTGCGCATCCTCCTCTTCTTTCCGATGAGAGGAGGAGGAAGAAGGGGGGGAGAGGAACGGTAGAGGCGCGTGTAGGTACGGTGGTCTATACCTCCCTTGAAAAGGGGGACAGAATGATGATGAAGGGAACAGTAATTACGACGAGTCTGAGGACGCACTCCTCATCCTCTCCCCCCCGTGCTCCCATCAATCCTCCGCCGCCGCATCACCCTCCTCATCCCACCGACCATCCCTCTGCCAGTCACGTTCGTCATCGGATCTCGTATGGAAAGTAGCCGGGGAGGGGGATGATGATGACGGCGATGACGATGATGACGATGATGACGATGATGAGAATGCTGATATGGATTCCAGTGGGCGCCCGAGTCCGTCCAAGGAGGGCACGGTCAGCAAGGCAGCGGCAGTGAACATGCGTGGGCTGCATTTTCGAGAAGACAATGACAAGACAACGGCGGCGGGGCAAGAACTGACGAGCACGTGCATGCATGAAACGGCGGAACAATGTCTGGGCCATGCGAACCTAACGCACGCATTCTGTGAGATACGGAGTGTGCGAGCTCCACACTGATAGCAATGCTTCTGAGAAGCTCAGGAGCACCCCATGCAAAGATATGCAGCCTGAAACGCATGCGGGTCTGCCCGTAGATGGAAGACACAGGCCTGCACGGCAACAGGTGAGACACAGCATTGAAGTAGAGACGGCAGGACAAATAATGAGGGATGCCTTCACATGAGCTGTCCGGGCACCCGATTCGGCATCATATCTAAGACATCGTCGATATCGAACAGTCGTGGCCCTCGCATTGCGCAAGTCGTGTTCAAGGTACTGGCGGTTATCATCAGCAAACGAATGAGCAACATCGTCGCGTCATTGCCATCCATCGCGCGGTCCAGTGCGCCAATGTCGCTAGAAGATAATAACAAGCAGAACTCTCAACAATACAAGTCTGGTCCAGTAGTTGTTTCTTGAAGTTATCCCACCATGGATCCTCAGGTGCACGAGGAATGAAAATTGAGCTTGCGCCAGTTATCGTGGACCTGATAGAACATGCGGATGGTGAGTCTCGGATTGTGTTCGCGGGTCGAAAGCCCATCATCACCATCGAGAGTATCACAATGATCATCCATGAGCTCCTGAGATACTCTGGGGCGCCGTGCCATGCGACATTCGGCAGCAGCAGCGCACTTCACGACGTCCAATGCTTTCACAGGGAAGCCGAACTCTTTTAGCCGATGCGAAAGATCAGGGCGTAGCGCATGCCGAGGCCAGACGACTACAGCCACGAGTTTTTCACGCCGAACAGCAGCAGTGGGCGAATAATTGCGCCACAGACGCCGGACGCTAATAGCCAGCGCGTCGTTGCGCGTCAAATTTTGAAACAAAATCAAGTTCCGAACTTAGTCGAAGCTGATGTTCTCCATGGGAAGTGCCCATTAATGAATAAAACCATCCTTCCGATGCATGCGTCAAAGTACGCGTCCGCATTCACGACGACACGGCCGGTGGCATTTATGCCGGCGCGTCTGAGCCGAACGGGCACCCCCCCAACCGCGAGGGAAGTGAAAGACGGTCAACGCCCTCATTGCGTCGGAGCGCAGACCCGTGGCATAGCCACAAGCAACCAGAAGGGGAAATAGACAAGGACGCGCGCGGTGCAGGACTACAGGAGCCAAATCTTCTGCGGAACGCTAGATGAACGAGGCCAGTCGAGGAAAACGACTACGCGTGCGCCGAACTACTGGATCCAGAGCCAAAGCGAACGTCGGGCCCGACATCGGAGGCCCCTGCTGAACCCCAGTGAGGACCAAGAGTCCAGCGAAAACACAAACAGAGTACACGACGGATGCGCGCCTGTTCTTCAACAGTGGCCGGATGCCACGCACGATGCGCCGCGGCGTGCCCGCGGCCGTGCGCGCCCAGAAGATCCAGGAGTGAGCGCGGCTAGGGGGGGGGGCCGTTTTGAAATCCATCAACGCGGCAGCACAATCTAGATTGCCCTCAACACCCCCCCCCCCCAAAGCGTGAGCGACGAAGAGACCTCCCAGGCGTTGTCTGCCATCTGTCTACCCGTGGCAAATCCCGTCTGAGCCCGGTCAACCGCGCGCAGCGCCTGCTGCGGGAGCCCCGATCCGATAGCACGAGAGATGATATTGCTCGATGTGTCCGAGAGCGAAAGAAGGCGAGCGGCGGCAGCCGCGTGCGCAATGCCCGCGCAATCGTTCGGAAGAGTACCATTAGAGGGAAGGGCCAGGTAGCGTATGTCGAAACCATCAGGCAGCATCTCTCCTCGATCAACGCTGGCTTGCATCGCGTAGAATTGACTGGCGAGGGGGCGAAATGCCACGTGGACCTGGGGCGGCGTCTGTCATTTGCCCGATCAAGTCTCCGAGGGAGCCGAGGGGGGTCGGGCGGCGAACGTCTCTCGCAGCGGCTCGCATGAGAGGGAGACGACGCCCCTGCTCATCCACCCGAACAGGCCGCGCATCGTGCCCCCCCCCCCCCAATGCGAAGCAAGCGTAGCAGCGCCCGATGCTTTGCCGGGCGCCCCCTGGCCACCGGCATCAATGACAGCGCGCAATAGGTCTGCGGCTTTTGTCGACCCGTGCGGCGCGTTATCGCTGTAGCTTCCCATTCTGCTGACTCGTTAACGAAGCGTAAAATGCGGCACGATGATCTATCTCACTTTCCTGGGAGCGCGGGCGAGCAAGCGTAGCAGACGGTGTAAATGTATGAGACCCAGCGAAATCAGCCAATGCTAGAAAATTGGCGATCCATTGCTGGGCGTCAGGAACTGCACTGCGGGCGTCGCGAACCAGCCGAGCGCTCGAAGACTCCATGGCGCGCGCGACGGCGATGCGCCATCTGACTTCTCCCCCCGCGAGTCTCAGGGCCCACAAACGATAGATGCTCGCTGGCCAGGTCGGCCGCCCCATGCACTGCGCCCTGCACATAGCGCAGCTTGTCGCGCGGACGCCAACCCGGAAGTGGACCCATCATGAACGCATGCGAACTTTCAAACCAGGGCAAACTTTCAAACCACCCAAGACGGAATGCGACGATCACCGGCAGGCCAACCACGACGGAGCTGCAGAAAACAATGGAACGTGATCGCCGGTCTCGCGAATTGCCGTTGCTTTCAACTGGGCGCCTAACCATGGATGGGAGTCCAGCGCGGTTCCAGTAGGAGCAAACGCATTCATGTTATCAGCCCGCGCGTCTGGAAAGGGACTTGCGCGCGCGATCATACTGGAGACTGCAGAAGCGAGCGTGACCAAGCGTTGAGCACTTGAAGTCACCAGAAACCAAAGACAGCCCACGATCGAGCAAAGACATGTGGCGAGCAAGTTTGAGGAGGGTGGGCTTCTTGATATGAGCCGAAGGATGCAGTCGAGCATGTGCGTTGCACGTGCGCAGCTTACCCTTGGAGCCACGGGGCACCTCAACATGGGGACATCACTGTGGATAGAGGCGAGGTCACCAGTGTCCACGCGCCTCCTGGAAGAGAATACACGTAGCACCACGAACAAGCCAATGCAGGCGCTGCCATTTAAGATCCTGCCGAAATGATTCATCACCGATAACCACAAAGGGAAACTTGACGTTCCAAGTGATGAGGATGAACCGTTGCTTGACTTCATTGGGCCGTGCACGCATCGAATGGTCAGGGCATGCGAATTCTACGGCAATGTCACTGTCGTCCGAGGTTGAAGAAATCGAGGAGGTCGAGGAGGAAGACGAGATGTCAACTGCCCCAGGAGAACGCTTGACAACAATGACCCACACAATCGTAGCCACAAAATTAGGATGTCCTCGTCCATATGACGAACTCGCCTCCGAATGGGAGGAAACGATGTTGGCGATAAGAGCCGTGATCACGTTGATGACCATGCCGATGGCCTGGGCCTCTGGGACATCAGGAGCGACGACGGTTCGGCCCACGGAGCCGATCTTTGCCTTCAGGATGTCGCGCCTGGCTCTGATGGGGAACTGCATCTGTGAACGGGCGTCAGTCCATGAATATCGTGCGGAATTCCTTGGCAGCCTCAACGCTCTCGAACTTAAGCGTGTAACTCTGGCTGATGGCAGCAAGGAGCGTGTCGGTCCAAGTCTTGTTTTTCTGCATCGATCTGGGCAGCCATCTCGTTAAGAGGATTCTCCGGTTGAGCACGTGAAAAGGGGCGGGGCCACCCATTCATCCAAACCTTCGGACCAGGGGACAGAAATAGCCGCCGCTTGTACCCAACAACAGATACCGCCGAAGGCGTTCCTTTGGAAGCTCCTGCCGGCGCCTGCTTGCTGTCCATGGTAGTCATCCGAACACCAAGTGCCGCAATACGAGTGCCAATCGCGATCGCGATCTCATTCTTGATCTCCTCCTGGAAACGTGGATGACAATTCTTCATCTTTGCGACCGGTCCCGCGAGGGTCTAAAACGCAGTAGCCACCTTCCTGAACCCCTCCAGAATGGTAGCCGGTTCTGTCGCCATCGCTGGGGCAACAAGATGGAACAGAAAAAATGTGCCCGACTGAGTCTGAAACCGCAATGGCCTCGTTAAGTAAAGCGGCTGCACTCAAATGGGACATGCCCCCATCTTGGGCCAACATGGTAGCGGACGGTAACGCTGATGAAACTGAAGGTGATGATGCGGATGATGATCTTGATGCTGGGGAAAATGATGCGGACGATAATTCGCATCAACCTTCTGATGCGAATCGAACCGATGTTGAAAATATGACGATAATGAGATTGATGGTGGTTGTGAAGATGATGATGTTGATGATGGCTATGGTGATTATGATGATGATCGGGATGGGTGGGTTTATGCGGATTGTGAGTTCGATACCGGTGGTGATGATGGCAATGATGATGATGATGATGATGATGATGATGATGATGCCGATGGCAATGATAGCGATGATGTGGATGAGGATGATAATGCTGATGAGGAGGTGGTTGACGATGATGATGGTGATGGGGAGGTAACGGGGGGGGACTGGTAGAAGGACGATGCTGAGGATGAGGACGATGGCCATGAATAGGGCGAGGGTGGCATGCTGATGGTCAGACCTCCTCCTCCTCCTGCTCCCATGGGAAGGAAAAAAGGGGTGAATGGCAGGAGTGACAAAATGACATGTATGATTGATGGGAGCACAGGGTGAGGGGGGGACTCCTCAACCTACTCATCATCGCCGTCCTCCTGCTCCGAGTGCTTATAGCATTCCCCCTCATATCACTGTCCCTCCTCCTCCCAAGTAACAAACAAAGGGAAATAAACAAATTAATGACGGCGACGAGGAGGGGGTTGAAGATGATGATGATGATGATGATGATGATGATGATGATGATGATGATGATCGTGATGAAGGCTATGGGAGCAGGAGGGTCAGGGGCATCAGAAGGAGAATGAGGCGGAGGAGGAGGAAGAGCAGGTGGAATTACTCCTAATCCGTATCGCCCTGCTGCTCAGTCGCCATGTTCTCCTGTTGTCACTCCTCCTCATACTCATCTTCAACGTTCTGCTTTTCCTCGTCTTCCGAATCATCCTCCTCATCCTGTTCCTCCGCCGCTTCCTCCACTCATGGGAGAGTGAAGAGGAGACGGAGGACATGAGGAGGCGGAGGAGGAGGAGGAGTGGTACACAAATATACATTTAAGCGAGAGGGAGAGAGAGAGAGAGGGAGAGAGAGAAAGAGAGAGAGAGAGAGAACTATAGAAAGAAAGAGAAGGCGAGGAAGAGAGAGTGCAGGTCACGGACGTGCGGGTTCGGCCTCGATCCTCTTGTCGTACGCGTTGCGGTTCTACAGCATTCATACCGATTTCTTTAAAACCGAGAGTTTCTACCCCAACCTGGCCTGCGAAGTAGAGTTGGCGCAGCCCCTAAACCAAGAGGAAACAAAAGCAGGATAAACATACAGCGAGGAGGAAAGGAGTGCGGAAGGAAGAGGGAGGGAAAGGGTAATGGGGGAGGGAGCAGGATGCAGCACGAGAGAGATCCGCAAGATGGGGGTGGGAAGCAAGAAAACAAGCGGCAGCACCAGTCGGGCTCATCGGGCGAGAAGTCTCCAGCGACAAAGCGATTCACGAGTAAATCGTCAGGCCGTAAGCGAGACCGTGATCCCTGAGTGTCAAAGGCGTCCGGCCCAGCGAGATTTCTGCCTGGCCCCCTTTCTGGAATGTTCGCTTCGCTCGGTTCCTCGCGCTGCATCTCCGTGAACTCGGACTCCCGGAACCCCCCATCAGCCTTCGCGTTCTCCACCTGGCAGGCTTCGGACATGTTCGGGTTCCAAAGAGTGGAAGCCCAAACTGTTTGCCAAGCTCGCGAGCACACTGACGCCGCACTGGCTTCATGCGAGCTCGCTCCGTGCACAGAAGCTTAGCCTAGCTACTGTCACAAGGGGCACGCGCTGGACAACAGACTGGGCCCCAGTGCGATTCTTCTGACATGTGCTAGCCGTCCGCTCAACTCAGGCAGTCTGGGACAATCTCACGTACCCGCCTCTTGCAAGCCTCCCCTGAAAATTTCGCCACAAGGTTGCCAACCCAACGGGGGGAACCGCCAGAAAGAGAGGAATTACAAATCACAGCACCTGCGGATTCGATGTCGTTTTGGGCTAGCGCTTTGTAACCTCACGCATTCCTCGTCGAAGCTGTGTTCCGCGAGCTGTAAGCAAGCATGCGAACTTTGCCCCTCTGGAACGGACGCGTGCGGCTGAAGCTAGAAATCGTGAATGTGGCATTGCCAACTTGCGACGGTAGTCTACGATGACGCTGGATTCCGCCAAACTTGCATCGCATATCTATCCGTGAAACAGCACTGCTTTTAGGTGGGGCATGTCCTCATACAGGCGGACCTTGGACGAAAAATAAACAAAGTCAAGAATATAGCAAAAATGTCAACATTTTAAAACAAATCGTCCCCATTTGTTTAAAAAAAATCCTCATGTAGAGGGGCACGCCCGACTTAACACTGGTGTTACACTTGTGAACGTCCACGGACTGACTGCCGAATGCCGCCGGGAGGAAAGACCAGTGCCCCAACGCCCGAGGAGCAGTCCATCACACAAATGTTCAACCAGATCTGCGTCGGACAAATGTCGGTGAGACGTACGACTCAGGATCGGACTCGTGCTGGCCTGACGGGGGCCATCATGAAAATGACGAGACTCAATCTGGAAATTGACGCGAACTCCCGCTGCAAACATCCCACGGAAACCGGACCGTCAGAATTCCAGGACGCGCTCGTCAAAAAAAAAAACGCAGGCAAAACCGAATTCCGGCTTACTCGAGTCTTACGCTCCCCCGAAAATGAGACCCCTGCACGGCCCCAACAGAAAACATGTTTTGGGCGGCGGTGGTCAAATATGACACTAAAGAAGGGAATCTAACAGGAGCGTCGGCAAAGGCGAACAGCACACCACTACCCAATGTGAGATACAAAATCACCGATCAGCACGTCGGCACGATTGCAAAACTCCTCCCAGGTGTGAGTCGCGCATCTCTGCCGCCAATAAATCCTTCTGCCCCCAGACGCAAGACACTCTTCCGAACTGCGCCTCCCCCGAAACACAGCTTTTGCACCGAGGCGCTCCCACTGAAACTGCGAGCTTCCCCTGTCCGTCGGAGCCGGCCCTTGGCGCGCCGATGCCCCACAGCAGTGCTGCCAGAAAGAGTAGGCCGGATAGGGCACGCAGGGGCGGCGGTGCACTGAGGCGAGCCCCGGCCACGCAGAAAGAGGCTCGCCGACCCGAGCCCGTGGAACGGCCCGGCCCGAGAACTGGAGCCCCTCCGCCATGCCTCGTGTCCCTCCTTCTCCTCCCGCTGCTCTTCGGTGTCCCAATGGGGTCGACCTTCTACAACATGGTTCCTCCTCCTCCTCCTCCTCCTCCTCCTCCTCCACCTTCTCCTCCTCCTCCTCCTCCTCCTCCTCCTCCTCCTCCTCCTCCTCCTCCTCCTCCTCCTCCTCCCCCCTCGCTCCCCCCCCCAACGGAGTCTCGTCGCCGAGGCCGAATTCGACTCGAAAACCAGAGTGGTACGTGCGGTCGGGAGCAGTCGGCTAGCGTGTCGCGGCCGCGGCCCCGGCGACACGCTATGGCCCTGCGAGCGGGGAGCGTATGGCGTGGCGCGCTCTCCGCTCCGCGGGGCGGAGGCTCGGAGACGCTCGCGGCCAGCCGTCCGCGCCAAATGTGTGGTCGGGCGCGTCCCCCTGCAGGCGGATGTTGGGAGAAAATTAATACATGGTCAAAACATATGCACAATTAGCCCAAACAATAAAAATATCAATAAAATAATAATAACAATGAGTATGGTAATAAAACCAATAATACTAAGAATAATGATAATGAGAATAAAGTGTCCTCCCATTATTTGTTTTGACTATTTTTTGATGTTCCTCTTGTGGAGGGGCGTGCGCGACTTGTGCCCCTGGTGGTCGGCGCCATGGGGCCCAGTGCCCCCGGGGGCGCCGTGGGCGGCCGCTCGCGCGCGGGTGCTGCTGCTGGCCGGTGCCCTGCGGCTGGCGCCCCACGATGAGGTCGGGCATGTCCTCCTACAGGCTGATTATGGAGGGAGTTTTTTTTCGGATTATTTCTTTTTGTTTTTTCTTTTTTGTTAAAAAAAGACAAAATACGCAAAAGTATTCCCAGAATGGTCAACAAGCCGTCCCCAGACTTCTTTCGATTTCATCTTATTCCCCCTGTAGAGGGACAGGCCCGACTTTGACCCTACGATGGCCTGCGGTCGGGCTGCGGACAGGAACAGCAGTACGGGAAGAACGATGCGCAGAAGGCATCTCATACACCACCACCGTGCCACGCCTGGGCCAGCCTGGGCCCTGGCACGGTGTGTACGCCCCTCTGGCCGAGGCCAGGAGGGTCTACACACCGTCCCAGGGCCCAGGATGGCCCTGGCCTGGCAAGGTGGTGGTGTATAGACACCACCGTCGGAAACGAAGCTGATTTTTCCAGGTCGAGTCGTGAGCGTTGTCTTATCCGGCGTTTCAACATTGGGCGGAATGGGGGAGGGAGGGGGGGGGGGTCTGGCTCCGGACTTCTGCTGGATGCGACTGATTGCAGCAGGGCGTCCATTATGGGGGAGCCTCCACCTGCGTGAAACAGGCGCCCCGAACAGCCAAGATCTACTTCATGGGGGGGGAGGGGTGGGGGTGGCGAGGGCCCGTGCCGATCGCCAAAACAATGTATAAGAAACCGCTCACTACATGAAGAACGAAACTAATGTTTCCGGATCGAGTCGGGAAATCCCAAGGAACGGCCGAGCCCCTTCCTAGCAGCGCTCCGCCCTCAAGACGGATTCCGCGCGCGCTTAAAACTTAAGGAGCACCGAAGAGGCTCGCCACCAAAACAGGAATGGACCTCATGCAAACCTCAGGAACCACCGAGCTCCGTCCGATCTCAAACTGGACCGTGTTTCAACAAACTGACTGTATGGTTGGTGCGGCGGGCTCGTGCCGTGACGACCCTGGCGCTGGTTCCTGGCACCGCGGGGAGCATTGAACCATGAACGATCGGCGGCTTTTCGATCGCCAGATTGCTCTGCATTGGCCAATTCTGGGCCACTGGCGGCGTTCGACCTTAAACGTCCGCGGCGGGGTCGCAGCCGCGCCGACACGACACGAACCCACCGCACTTGATGGTCAGTGCCCCGTGGTGCCCTATGCTTTGTGCTCTTTGGCTTGCCTTGGCTGTTCCGATGTCCAGGTCGCCGACGTGATGATGCGAGAATTTCCACGTGTAAAACAGGTCTTGCTACAAGTGATACAACGACTACTCCCACGTATATCTTTACATACGTGTGTACAGATGATACCTTTGCGACCACTACATACTATCAGCCTGCACGTCGGCGGTGCAAGACCATGTATATATATATGGTGAGATCCACGCGCTGGCATCACAACGCCAGGGCTCTTCATTGCGCTTCTTCTCGCTTGACCTATATTGCAGTAGTAGAGGGCCAGGATAAGATGAGAGAACACGCCGATAAGTATATGAAAGAGATGAGGAGAGAGGCGGGACTGTGCACTCAACAACGCTACCCTAAGACTTGGGCGCGTGGCCATCGGCATCGTGCATAGTTGCGGGGATGCTTGCTGCGGGCATTGTTTCTGTTCTGGCTGAGGGGCCTCTCATGAGCTCCTGGGCAGCGTGGCCAACAAAGCAACGCTGCCCGCAGACGTGGCCACTGTGCTTTTGGCACAGCGGTATTCCTGCGAAGTGGGCAGCATTCACGTCACCAGCATAAACACAAAAAAATCAATAATCAATTTAGGACGGTTCGCTCCTGTCTGCTTGCGCGCCATCAAGCACGTATCTCCCACACCCTCGGCACTCGCCCTCTTCGTCTTCTATCGTACCCCCTTAGGGGTAGATCTTTCTCACCTGCAACGTGTATTTCGTGCAGCCCAAGAGGTCGGTGACGAGAGGACGGATGGAAGGAAGGGACAAGCGGGAGGGAGGAGGATGCAGCACGAGAGAGCAGCCCGTCGGGGGGCTAGGAGCAGAAAGCACGTGGCAGAATCAGACGGGCAGATCAGGCGGGTAGACCCTAACGGGCGGGTCGGGAAGGCGGGCCCAGGCGGCCAGGTCTAGCAGGTGGGTTGCTGAAGCTTGCGTCCTGCATGAATCGCCAGGAAGTCTCGAGGGATAGCGCGATTCCGGAATCAAGCGTGAGGAAGTCCATAGCGAGAGCGTGATTCCTAGTGTCGAGGGCGCGGCGTCTGAATCAATTGCGAGGACGTCCCGCGCGAAAGCGCGAATCCTGTATGCATCGTGAAGAAGTCCCGCGCGAGAGCGCAATTGAGGAATCTATTTGGAGGAAGTAGCAGGCGGGAGCCACTGTTGTTGCAAACGGGGGGCAACAGGGGGCCAAGGACCCAACTTGGTGGCCGTTCATATTCCCTTGAATAAAACCGGGTGCGAGCCGAAAGAAGCACTTACATAAAAATGCAATGGTTACCGGAGGAGGGGATCAACACCAAATATGATGTAAATCCAACAACAGAACAACAGCAGCAGCAACAACGTCAACAAAAAACAGCAGCACCCACAACACAAACAAACAACCACAACCACAACAACACCATGCGAATCACAACAACAACAAAACGCGAGACCGCTCCCGGAAAATTTTCAACACGGCGCAACTGTCGCCCCGGGACTCAACAATCTCCAGCCGCCTTCTAACGCTTTCACAGGCAACCACTCCTGGAGAGTGGCGAGGCCGCGGCCGCGGGCCCCGCCTGGTCCCGCAGCCTCTTGGCGCTGACCTCCTCCTCTGCCAGCTCGGCCCTCTCCATGTTTTTCCGCGCCTCCTCCCGCATCCTTGCCTTAGTTGAATACCGTCGGGGCGTTGACCTAAGGAACCCTAAATAAGGAACGAGGCCCCGGTTTCCCATAAGTTAAACGTCGATTTCCCATGGAAGACCTCAGGAAAACCTGAGGCAAACTGTTAAACAATCAAGGAATACCGAGCCCCTCCCCAACGAAAAGGGTTCCTTCTTCAGCGCCCCGACGGTACGGTCGGTTCGTGCGGCGTGGGCGCGCGCAAAGGACTTCGACACCGCGTCGACCGTTCAACCTTGCATCGATCGCGGCCGCGACCGTTCGAGGCTGGATTCAGTCGGGCCCAGTGGCGCCAACGTGCCCATCGGTGCCTCCGCGTCGCAGGATTCAGCCTCGAACGCCTTTGCCGCGTCGCCGGCGCGCCAGCGCCGCGCGAACCTACCGTGCGCGCCCGATCCAGCAGGCCGATCGACGAGGAGGGGGGCGGGGAGCGCGATGACGGCACGGCCCGAGCCTCAGGTCGGGCGTGTCCCCCTACAGGGGGATTTTGGGACGAAACAAAAAAAACGAGCAAAAACATAGCACAAAAAAAAACATAGTACATAGTACAAAAAAATAGTACAAAAAAAACGTCGCCAGACTATTCTTTGGATAGTTTGGAACACTCCCCTGGTAGAGGGGCAGGCCCGACTCAAGAGTGCGCACCCGATCCAGCAGGCCGATCGGCGAGGAGGGGGGCGGGGCACGCGATGGCGGCAAGGCCCGAGCCGCGCCGAGCCAGTCGCTCGCGGGGGGAGGCCTGCTGTGGATGGGCTCAGGTTGGGCATGTGCCACCTGGAGGCGGATTCTGTAGGAAAACTAACGCAAATCTGATAATACTAATAATATTCCAACATGGCCCAAAATAATGTTTCGAATGATATCTTGGACGGGAAATGATCGAAACATATTCCAACATGGTCCAAAAATGTTCAGAAACTCGTCCCCAGACGATTTTTGTGACTGTTTGTAAATCTTCCTCCTGTAGAGGGACAGGCCCGACTCCAGTCTGGATCCGGAGCCCACGGTCGAGCCCCGATCGGCGGAGCAGGCCGCAGGCCCCTCTCGGCTCCTCGCCTCGGGGGTGTTGTCCACGTACTGGATGTACCAGCCTTCCCCGCCCCGTCCCGCAGGGCCGGCAGGGCGAGCCCAGAGCGCCAGCGACGCGGCAGGGGGGGGGGAAGGGGGGGGAGCATCGCCCGCGCCGCGAAGCAGCGCTCCGCAGCGCGAGGCCGAACACAGGCGCTCTGGAATAACATCGCGCTTGCCATGGCCGTCCACCCCGAGACGTCTCCAGACACGACCACAGTTCGGCGGCGAGGCCAGGGGGGGAAGTGAGAGGGAGAGGGCCTTCTCAGAAGGCTCGGAAGTCCCCCTGCCTTCTCGGAAGTTGTCAAAGCCTCCCCCGAAGACACCGAAAACCTCCCAGAGGGCGCTGGGGCTTCTGAGAAATCCTTCAAGAACCTTCGGCGTCGGAGCGATGTCAAAATCGAGTTTCCAAAACACATACAAGAACACATGGTTTCGCAACACTGACCCCCTGAAAAAGCCTACGCGCGCGCTCCTGCGACATCTTAACAAACCATAGGTGTTACAATATTCCCGACAACAAGTACTACCAAACGGGCTTCGCGCGCGCGCATGTCGAAAACATTCGAACGTCCTTGCGCGCGTGCCGTCGCGAGAACCCTCTGCAAACAAGGAACGAAGTTCAGACGCGCGCGTCGTCGCGCGCGCATGCCGAAATCCTTCAAGAACCTTCGGTTTCGGAAGGATTTCAGAATCGCGTGTCCAAACAGCATACAAAAACACATGGTTTTGCAACACTGAGTTTCTAAAAAAGCTTACGCGCGCGCTCCTGCGACGTCTTAACAACACCATGAGTGTCCAACAACAAATACTACCAAACGGGCTTCGCGCGCGCATGTCAAAATCTTTCGAACGCCCTTGCGCGCGTGCCGTCGCAAGGATCCTCTGCAAACAATGTAGCAGAGTGCAGACGCGTGCGCCGTCGCGCGCGCATGCCGAAATGCTTCAAAAAACTCTCGGTTTCGGAAGGATGACAGAATCGCGTGTCCAAAACATGCAAAAACACATGGTTTCGTAAAACGGAATTTCAACAAAAGCGTGCGCGCGCGCTCTTGCGTCGTCGTCGTCGTCGTCGTCATCGCCGTGCTCCCTTCTCCCTCGTCGTCGTCGTCGTCGTCGTCGTCGTCGCCGTCGTCGTCCCCTGTCTTTCCTCGTCGTCGTCGTCGTCGTCTTGACGTCGTCGTCGTTTCCGCCGTCGTCGTCGCCGTGGTCGTCCTTCCTCCCTCGTCGTCTTCGTCGGCGTTTCGTCGTTGTCCCTCCTATTTCGGTGCCGTCGTCGTCGTCGTCGTCGTCGTCGTCTTCCCTCCTCCCTCGTCGTTGTCGTCGTCGCCATCGTCGTCCTGCCTCCTCCCTCGTCGTTGTCGTCGTCGTCTTCGTTGGCGACGTCGTCGTCGTCGTCGTCGTCGTCGGTGTTGTCGTCGTCGTTGTCGTCGTCGTCGAAGTCGTTGGAGACGTCGTCGGTGTCGTCGTAATCGTTTTCGGCGGCGTCGTCGTCGTCGTTATCGCTGTCGTCGTCGGCGTCGGTGTCGCTGCCAAGTGCCATTTGGTACCCACCGTCACGGTCTTGAGAGGTCGTGCAACCAAGTTGCGGGTGTGAAGGTGGGATGTTTGCACGAGCAGTGGAGAGGACAGCTTCAAGTTGAGCAAGCGATTGGCTTGCTCCACATAGACTGCACATCACCTGCTTGCACCGCACAGTTTGCACAACGCACAACCCTGTTCATGAGAACAACTACAATGTATCCCCTGCCGAAGCTGGCCTGTTCGGAACCATCCTCGTATGTTCCCCAGTGATGCTGCACGAAAACTGATCCCAAACACCGGATGATACCATCCCAGGCGAGCTGGTGCCACCCCGACTATCATCCTTGTCGAGAAAGACCACGAAGTGCACACGCGTTGATATGACAACCACGTTTCTGATGAACGCCGTCACATACCACCATGGGGGCCACATGCGCGTGCCCACGTCCGCATGCATGAGCATGTCAAAAGAGAGCTCTTCTAACACACACACACACACACATATATATATATATATATGACACACAAGATGAATCAATTGAGAATATGCCAAGGCAACTGGGTTTCTGAACGCGCACACTTCTTTACCAAATTCATTAGCATCATCGCATCGCCACCGGCATTGTCATCGCCATTCTCACCACCGCCGCTGCCACCAGCATCACCCTCGCAAACGATATCGTTGAACTCGTGGTCATCGCCGCCGTCATCACCGTTGCCATCGGCATCCCCGCCGCCACCATCACAATTGGCGCTATCATACACATCGTCGCCGTTCCCATCGTCATCATGATCACGCGCCCGCCCGGGTGACTGATGCGGCCCGATGGCGTTCGCAAGCAGGCCCCAAGCGGTAACAGCATACCTATCGTGACCATCGCCATCTCCTGTCCTTTAGGATGGATGCGTCTGAGCGCTTAGGGTCCACACATGCGCGTGCCTCATGGGATTATGGCAACGTGCATGCTGCCAACAAATCGCGGGTAAGAAAGTGGGATGCTTGCACGAATAGTGTTGTTTTGGCTTCCGTTCAATTGGAGCACTACACCACGAAATTCACACGACAAACGTTTGAGTCTGCGGATCCCCCGTCCCCCCAAAAAAACTGAACACGCCACCCTCCCGAACCCAGACTCCTCGCCTCCTTATTGGATAACACAGTTTACGTATGACTCCGCCACCCCGTTCATTTCCAGTGGGAAGACCAACTATCCAAGGGCAACTGGCTGTTGACCCCTAGCTCACCCCTGTCAAACAATATGGTTTGCTCGCGCTCGTCTGCCAAAACTTCAGGTTGCAATGATACAGTTGTAAATGATACCACAACGTCCACACGCGGGCATGCCGAACACATGCCAATCACATGATAACTTCACGCACGGCATCATCAATAACATTAACAATGTGTGGTTGTTCACTAAAAACCATTGCAGTGTGTCTGCCCTCGAGCATTTGCTGGGACCGTTCTTAAGCACGCATTTCAATGTAGCACGCTTCAAACTCAGACGACCACCAACTGGAGCCCAACACAAAGCTTGCAACCATTATGGAATTCTGCGCGCACACTTTCTCACAACCACCCCCATGAGAACCATTAGATAACCACCGTCATCGACATCGCCAATCGCCGCCTCTGCCGCCACCGTGAACACATCACCTCCACCACTACCGCATGGATGTCTTCATCGTCACTGTCGCCACCTATCTCGGCGCAGTCGCGCCGTGATTGGCCTTGCAATCGGCATCGCCATCGTCGCCACCACCACCGCTACTGTCATCATCGCTGACGCTGTTGCCGACGTCATCCAAAACACCGCGACTGCCCGAGCCACCGTCCGGCGTGGAAGCCGCGCCAGCGCGGCCCTTGGGACGCGCTGGGACGCTCCCGTCGGCAAGCGCCACCGCGGCCAGCGTTCACGCGCCAGCACGGCCGCAGAGACGCGCCAGGAAGGTCCAGTGTGCAAGCGTGATGGTAGCCGAATGGTTCTGCCCTACAAGTTGCGGTTAGGGCGACCGCATGCTTGCGCAGGCAGTGTAGTCGACAACTCCTGGGTTGACAAAAACTAACTGAGCGGCGCGGCATAGATCGCACCCACCAGCTTGCATTATTTAGCTTGCGGGTCATGGACCGCGGCGGAACAAATGCACCACATAGAGTGCATCGAGAGTGTAACAGCCCAAAGGTTTGAATTCTGCGCTGCCGAACGTGTCTTTTCTCCGTTTGCCGAAACGCCGCTCGGGCGACATCGCTACCTCCATCCAGGGGGGGCGGGGGGGTCCGCCCCCAACCCCCCCCCATCCAAGCGACCACATATAGAGCTCTGTCCTACCTCCTGCCCCCCCCCCGTGAGAACGACATACCCACCCCGGTTGTCTCTTGATTCTGGCCGTCTCATCAGGAGGGGAGGAGCCTGGCCGCCATGTATTCCGGAACGTGCCTGCCGCTCAGAAGCTCCTCCCACATCGCTGCTCAGACTTCGAAGCTACCTCCTGATCTCTCTGAAAGGGCGGGGGACCGAATAACGCTCGACAAGGCCGAGTACACAACGAGAACGAGAGAGAGAGAGAGAGCGAAGCAAGAGGCAGAGAGAGAGAGAAAACACAAAAAAACACTAACACTATAGAGAGAGAGAGGGACGATACATATGCAGAGCTCGAGATCGAGAGACACATAAAGAGAGAGAGAGAGAGAGAGAGAGAACGCAGAACAAGCAAACAACAAGCACGACAACATGCGTGCGATACATCGACATCGAGGGGGACAGAGAGAGAGAGAAGCGTACACAGAGAGACAGAGCGAGAAACAGGGAGAGAGCGAAAGCGAAGAGGAATAACACTCTGAGGGAAGAGTACGGGAGGGAGGACGAGAGAACGAGAGAGCGAGAGAAACAGAACAATGAAGAGGGGGGGCAGGAAAAACTAAACAGAAACACAAGAGGATGTGATGGGGTGACGGTGATGGTAAGGTCGCGAAGATCCTCCACTGTGGGGATAAACAGAGAAAACAAACCACAACACACCCACACCATAAAAATACTCTGACACGCATCAGCCGAGACGCCCGAACACTCTGCGGGCCCACCTTTGGGCGTCTTGTCAATCGTGCACTGGTTTGTGCGACCTAAGTACTGCACAAAGTTGCTGAGGGTCACCCAGATTGTGGAGTTCATGTGGGTGTGATGGCCTCAGTCAGGGAGGTCGTATGCGGCAGCCCTTGACTGAAGCAATCCTAAGGGTGCACTGGGCCAACAGCTTGGTCAAGGGCTCGAACCGAAATCTAGTTTGGGTGCAACGGGAAGCGCGGTTTTCTGAGCCGCTCCCGAACAACTTCTCGCTTGTGTCCAATCTTCGTACTCTTGTACTCCTCCTCCTCCTCCTCGCGCGTCCTCGCTCTCCCTTCCTCCTGGGCGAACCTCCTCCTCCTCCTCACCTCAAAAGTCGCGTTCCTCCTCGCTCCCGCTGCTCCTCCTTCTCCTCATCAGTGCTCCTCCTCAATCATTTTCATTCGTGCTCCTTCTTCAATGCTCAATGCTTACCCACAACCTCTTGATCTCCTGATCGGTTATCGCAGTTCTCCTCCTCGAATCCCCATCCTCCATCTTCCCTTGCATCCATCCTCTCCTTGTACCTCTCCCCCTCAACGTTCCCGTCAACGTTGTACTCCACATTATCCTCCTGAATCCCACCGATCTCCTACTCCTGGTCTTCCTCCCCCTCATCCTTGGACTCACACTCGCCCGCTTAGCTTTACTCCCATTCGGGAACCGCTTCGTGCTTACCGTCGTACACAAAAGGGATCTCTGCCCGGCGGCCCCGAGGAGGAGCAAGAGGGGCAGGAGAAATGGGGCAGAGGAGAGGAGGAGGCAGCACCGGCGAGAAACCAATCGGATCCATAATGTGGCCCGCGCTGGGACCAAACCGGCATACGTGACGATGGAAGCAAACGACGTCCCGAACATGTGGCCAGCGTTGTGAGGCGAACGCAATTCTTGAAGGACCGAGAAAGCTCATATCATGTTACACCATGGACAATTCCAAGACGTGGTCGCAAATACTCTCGTTCTCTCTCTCTCTACTCCGTTTCTCTCTCGCCCTGTCCCTCTCACTACCGTCGAAAATCGTGTTGCCCGCTATCCCCACTCTCTACTATCCATTCTCTCTTCTCTGCTAAACTGTGTTCCCTACTCTCCGATTTGTCTGCTCCACGATTTGTTATAGTACACCACTTCATCCTGACCCTGGTCGCGAAACTTTTGGGACCTGGAAGAACTCGACTACCTGGGAAGCTTACCGTGCCTGGAGCCCTGGACCTGGAACTAGATCAAGAAGCACGGCCGCCCACCGAAATCGGCCAGGAACCAAAACCGTGGAACCCACACGCCCATCGAAATCGGCAAGCACTGGTTCGAAAGAAACACGCAGAGGACAATCAATTGAACCCCGTGTGAGAAACCTATGCGCGACAAAGGAGGGGCACATGTTCGAATTGCCAGGGGGAGAAGAGAGTAGTACCCATACTGTGTAACTGTTGAGGGAGGGGGAGAGAAGTAGGAGGTAAAGAGAAAGAGAGAGGGAGAGGGAGGGAACAAGCTAGGTTCGATCGCGGCAACAATCTCCTGCTTAGAATAAGAAAAAGTGCGAAGCTGAGAAAATGGGGAATCCTCGAAGGCAGCTGCTTTTTGTGAAGATGTCCGATGGGTGTACCCGACGTCCTACCCCTCCCACCCACCCTCTCCCATTGCACTTACTTCTTCTCCATCCGCCGATGGGGGTCATAGCGGACATGTGGACCCCCAGAAGACCCCTTCTCGTGGCACGCGCAACCGGAACAAAAACGAGAGGAAGCTGTGCACACTGGAAGAGGCGGCAGTTGAGCAGGATGATGGACAGGAGGCAAGTAGAACAGGTGAAGGCGCTTGGGGGCGGCTGATCCAGGGTGCACTTGAACGTCCTAGGCTTAGGTCGGGCATGTCCTCCTACAGGCGGATGTTGGACGACAAATTATCCCGGCACAGCAACCTAACAGCGATGTGTAGGAGCATATGTGGAAGCATTCCCCGTAAGATTCAGATGAGAATCCAGTTGTAGAATTCTGCTGTTCTCGCAGTCGTAGTCGCATTCGCGATGACAGTCGCAGTGGCAACGGCAGTCCCAGTCACATCCTCAGCCTCAGCCTGCCTCAGCCTCAGCCTCAGCCTGCCTCAGCCTCAGCCTGCCTCAGCCTCAGCCTCAGCCTCAGACTCAGTCTGCCTTCAGCCTCGGCCTCAGCCTCAGCCCGCCTCAGCCTCAGCCTGCCTCAGCATCAGCCTCAGCCTCAGCCTGCCTCAGCATCAGCCTGCCTCAGCCTCAGCCTCAGCCTGCCTCTGCCTCAGCCTCAGCCTGCTTCAGCCTCAGCCTCAGTCTGCCGTCGGCCTCGGCCTCAGCCTCAGCCTGCCTCAGCTCAGCCTCAGCCTCAGCCTGCCTCAGCTCAGCCTCAGCCTCAGCCTCAGCCTGCCTCTGCCTCAGCCTCAGCCTGCTTCAGCCTCAGCCTCAGCCTCAGCCTCAGCCTCAGCCTGCTTCAGCCTCAGCCTCAGCCTCAGCCTCAGCCTCAGCCTGCCTCAGCCTCAGCCTCAGCCTGCCTCAGCATCAGCCTCAGCCTCAGCCTCAGCCTCAGCCTGCCTCAGCCTCAGCCTCAGCCTGCCTCAGCCTCAGCCTCAGCCTCAGCCTCAGTCTGCCTTCAGCCTCGGCCTCAGCCTCAGCCTGCCTCAGCCTCAGCCTGCATCAGCCTCAGCCTCAGCCTCAGCCTGCCTCAGCCTCAGCCTCAGCCTCAGCCTGCCTCAGCCTCAGCCTCAGCCTGCTTCAGCCTCAGCCTCAGTCTGCCTTCAGCCTCGGCCTCAGCCTCAGCCTGCCTCAGCCTCAGCCTGCATCAGCCTCAGCCTCAGCCTCAGCCTGCCTCAGCATCAGCCTGCCTCAGCCTCAGCCTCAGCCTGCCTCAGCCTCAGCCTCAGCCTGCTTCAGCCTCAGCCTCAGTCTGCCTTCAGCCTCGGCCTCAGCCTCAGCCTGCCTCAGCCTCAGCCTGCATCAGCCTCAGCCTCAGCCTCAGCCTGCCTCAGCATCAGCCTGCCTCAGCCTCAGCCTCAGCCTGCCTCTGCCTCAGCCTCAGCCTGCTTCAGCCTCAGCCTCAGTCTGCCTTCAGCCTCGGCCTCAGCCTCAGCCTGCCTCAGCCTCAGCCTGCATCAGCCTCAGCCTCAGCCTCAGCCTGCCTCAGCATCAGCCTGCCTCAGCCTCAGCCTCATCAGCCTCAGCCTCAGCCTCGGCCTCAGCCTCAGCCTCAGCCTCAGCCTCAGCCTCAGCCTCAGCCTCCTCAGCCTCAGCCTCAGCCTCAGCAGCCTCATCAGCCTCAGCCTCAGCCTCAGCCTCAGCCTCAGCCTCAGCCTCAGCCTCAGCCTCAGCCTCAGCCTGCCTCAGCCTCCTCAGCCTGCTTCAGCCTCAGCCTCAGTCTGCCTTCAGCCTCGGCCTCAGCCTCAGCCTGCCTCAGCCTCAGCCTGCCTCAGCCTCAGCATCAGCCTGCCTCAGCATTCAAAATGTGGCCCGGGAATGGAGTTCTGGGAACTCGAAGAACACGAAGTGGCCTACAGTTGGCTCCGGGCATTCAAAATCATGCCCAGGAATGGAGTTCTGGGAACTCGAAGACCACGAAGTGGCCTACAGTTGGCTCCGGGCATTCAAAAACATGCCCAGGAATGGAGTTCTGGGAACTCGAAGACCACGAAATGGCCTACAGTTGGCTCCGGGCATTGGAAACCATGCCCAAGAATGGAGCTCTGGGAACTCGAAGAACACGAAGTGGCCTACAGTTGGTTCCGGGCATTCAAAATCATGCCCAGGAATGGGGTTCTGGGAACTCGAAGACCACGAAGTGCGTCACTGTTGGCTAAAACAGGAATCCCTGGATTCCCGGGGCACCCGTCCAGCATCTGCCCAGACCCCCTTGGGGAGTCATGATGCTCTCTTTTGAGACCACTAGAAACCTGTTAGTCTTCGCTGTTTGGTAATAAAACATAGCCCACAAATGTTCAAACATATGCAAGCATGGAAGAAAATGGTCCCCTGACCATGTTTAAAATCAAGTTTGAACATTCCTCCTGTAGAGGGTCACGCCCGACTTAACTCTAGTCCCCTGCGTCAGAGCACGTAGACAGGGCACGGTGTCTCAACGGACGCCCTCGGCCTGTCTGGGGGCGCACCCTGGCTCATGGGCGAGGGGGGGCCCCGCAGCAGGCGGCCAGGACGCCCCAAGGACCAGAAGTTCGGTCGGGGACGGGGCTGGGGCCGCTGCTTCAGGTCGGGCGTGTCCTCCTACAGGCGGATTTCCGGCGAAAAATACAAATTAGCCAAACAATACTCCAACAATCAGCAAAACAAACTAAACAAAAAAAGTCGTCTCCAGGCTGCTTGTTACAAACAACTATACTTGAACATTGCTTCTGTAGAGCGACCGACCCGACTCGACCGCTGCTGGGCCCGAAGCCCGGAGGAACTGCAACAGCAGGAGCGGGACAGATCGGGAGCAGCGGGAGGACCCGGGGGAGGGCGGGGGAGGGCAGAGGGAGGGGGGGCCGACAGCCACGAAGAAGCACTCGCATCCAGAGATGTGGCCCCAGATTGGGGGGCGAGAGCGGCATCCTTCGGGGAACAAGAAGTGACATAGACATTAAAAACTCGGAGGTCCGCGCGGCTTTCTCGGATCGGCGCTGGACCCCCCTCCCTGGCGCGCGGAGCGCGCCAGGGGCGGCGCCGACGGCGCCGCCAGGGGGGGCCCAGCGCGGATCTGAGAAATCCGCGCGGACCTCCGAGTTTTTCATGTCTATGCCACTGCTTGTTCCCCTAATCCTGAACCACGGGATCAATGCGCCGTCCCTGAAATGAGGCCACCTCTGCAGCAAGAACCCGCTTCTGAACCACCGAAGCCGTTCCGATGGAGCAGGACAATCTAGAAGGTCAACTGTTGAAACCCTGCGCGTGAAACAACGATTCGCGAAGAGGGCGGGACATCTCCTGGACGGAGTCAGACGAGAAGGGAGGCTAGAACAGTCAACCCGTACAATAAGGACGCACGATAAGGATGCAAGGGCCTTCGGCGGCCATGTCGACACTTTGCAAGCGGGGCGCGGCCAGCAAGAGCGGCCAAGGATGGGCCCGGAGGATGCAAAGGTAATCTTGGAAAGTCGCTCATCGTTATACTGCTGGCTGAATGGATTCATATTTAGCTGTTGGCATGTGGGGGCATGGAGAGGGAGGGAGAAGAGAACGGCATAAGGGCGGGACTTGCACAGGGCGGGCAGGCATGGCCGAGCACGGGCCAAGGCAGGGGGACCGCGGCGACTGCGGCGGCGGCGATTGGAGATGGATTCATAGTGAACCGTTGGCATGTTGGGCTGTGGAGGGAGGAGGAAGACGAGGACGGCAGGAAGGGCGGGACTTGCACAGGGCGGGGCAGGCACGGCCGAGCACGGGCCAAGGCAGGGGGACCGCGGCGACTGTGGCGGCGGCGATTGGAGATGTACTCATAGTTAGCTGTTGGCATGTTGGGCTGTGGAGGGAGGAGGAAGAGGAGGACGGCAGGAAGGGCGGGACCTGCACAGGGCGGGGCAGCGAGGGCCGAGCACGGGCCAGGGCAGCGGGGCCGCGGCGACTGTGGCGGCGGCGATTGGAGATGAAGTCGCAGTACACCTCAGCAGGGGGAGAAACGGGTCCGGGCCCTGGGCTGAAGTCGGGCGTGTCCCCCTACAGGGGGATTTTTTGGGCGAAAAAAACAAAGACTCAAAAGGTACCCCCCAAAGACTCAAACACAGTCAAGAGTAGAGGGACGCGCCCGACTTCATCCTGGGCATGCCAAGGCACAGGCCTGGGAATGCCTGGGCACATGCCTGGGCATGCCTAGAGGCATCCAGGGGGGGGGGAGGGCTCATGGTAAAGGGGGGGCGGGAGCAGCGCGCAGGGCCGAGCCCAACGGGCCCTGCGGGAAACGGCTCCGGGACCCCCCGGGGGCCTGCCCCCAGGACGGGCCGTTCCTCCTCCCGAGTCGTGTGCTGACGGCCCCGTCCTCCCTCCTCCTCCTCCCCCTCCCCTTCGTCCCCCACGGAAGTGTGCTGACGGCCCCGGGGGGCCCACGGAAGGCCGGGAGCCCGAAGACGGCGAGCAAAATCCGGAGCCGCTGCCCTGAAGACAGGGTTCCCGCCCTGGTGAGCACCGTGTTCGCGAGAATCCGCTGCGAGCGGTAGGTGTGGCTCATGAGCTTCATGAAGCCCGACTCGAACTCCTCGGCTGTTTGAGCTGATGCTGCTCGGCAGCGCTAGGGACTGAATGAGGCTGCAGGACGCTTTCGACCCTCAAGGCATCACCCCACAACTGCGAAACGCCGGGTACTAGCGAGGGCGGCTGAAATCGCTCCAAATGCAAAACTCTGGGCCGAGTCATGTCCAGTACTTGCGCACATAGCTCTAGGGCGGCCAAGAGGGGGGCGTCCAAGAGGGGGGGTGCAAATCATGGCCAGCTGCATGTACGCGGCCCAAGGGGGGGCCGGGGACGTAATGAAAGAAGAAGAGGCGCCATGAAATCTGGGGAGAGATCATGCATGGCCCACGCCATGATATCCACCCCCCTAGTCATCACCTCCCTCTTTGCCGCCCACGAATAGCCCTTTTAGGCTGGACGCCTCTGGACAACCTTCCGAGTCGGTGGCCACGAGAATTTCTGGGTTTGCCTTCGAGCGGGCTTGGCCCCCGACGCCGGTCCTATACTCAAACGTATGTCCCATGTCTCCCTCTCTCATCCCCGATCTAACATGGGCGCCTCTCTGCAAAATTGGGATATCCTCCTCCTCCTCCTCCTCCTCCCCCCACCGCCTCCTCATCATTCCCAGACTCCTCCGCCTCTTCTGCGCCTGTCCCCCTCACCCGTCCTCATAATCTTCCTCGTCGATCCGATACCCCAGAGCCCATACACCGTACCTCCCCGTCCGTCGTCTCAAATCCCCTCTCCCACTTCCCGTCCCAAGCCCCCCTCTCCATCCCCCTCCCTCCCGCTCCCCTCCCCCCTCCCCTCTCCTCCTCCCCCTCCCCGATATGTTGTTCCAGTCACAAACTCCTGGGAGAACTCGTCCATGAACTTGTTGGGATCCTGCACAAAAACCTGCATCTGCCGCTGATGCCCGTCGGACATGCGGTGGCACTTGAAGCCGTTCTCGTCGCGGCACTGCTTCTGACACATCTGGCAGTACCACCGAAGCTTCTGTAAGCCCTTGGCCTTCATCTTGTTTCCAAGCCATTTTGTGGACCCGACCTCCTGCTTCGGCATGGGGCCCTATCTATGGTGAAGCCTCAAAGCTGGGGGCATGAGTCGTGCGTAGACCTGCCAAATCATGGAGAGTATCCGCATGACATCTGACGTGCGACGTTCGAGACATTACAGTACGATGCTAAAATTCTCGACGCCATCTTTGGATGCAATGTCCCACGCTGCATCGACCTGCGATGGTCGCCGGGGCCCGAACAACACATGACCTCCAGAGGCAAGTGCCTTTAAAACGTCGCCGTCGTGCTGTGTTGCACATTGGCCAGCGGAGGTGCGCGAGCACAGATGACCATCTCATCCGTAGCCGGGCACCACACGCCCGAGCCGCGCTAGCCGACACGTGGCCGATCGAACGAAGCAGGACCCGCAGAGGACCCGACCTCCCCTCGCTGCACCTTCAAGAGTCGGGCAATGGTGCTTCGACTCAGCGCAGCCGTACAAATTTCCTCCTCGTCCTCGGCATGCCCCTACAAGTCGCCATCGCTCGGACGTCCATTCCCCGTTCATGTTCCGGCTTCGTGCGCATGTTCTTTTGTCGCAAGGTGATCCAGCATGTTCCTCGATGGCACTGGCCCCAACACGTGCCCACGCCCGAACGATGCCAAGGCAACGTGTTCTCCCGCCCCTCCCGCTCCCCCACGCCATCCTTACCTGCCCCCGGCCGTCCCTCGCCTACTCCTCATCATCCTTGTTTCGGGCAGGTGCCAACGGGGGGGGGGTGACCCAGATGGGGGGTGAAGAAAAGGGCCCCGAAGGAGCCCTTTCGGGCCCCTGTTCGGCGCCTGCTGGCTTCAAAAGGGGCGCACGCCCGACTGTCGCCCGCCCTCGCCCTCCCTCTCGGCATACCATCCTTTGGCCATGCCTTGATCGTCTGCTGGAGGTTACCGTCGGACCTAAGACAAAAGAACAACCTTCAAGAACATGAGATCTTCCGCCGGCCAAGCCACAGAACATCCAAGGGCATCTTCCTCAGGATGCACAATCAGATCCTACAAGCACGAAGTACCTGAGGGTGAACGCACCGAAATGACCTCGATCTTATACCTCGGTCCGTCTGTTCCCCACAACCATCGACATGCCAAACAAGAAAAACTCTTAGAAGAGCTCCATCCTCAGGGCTGTCACAGATTCCCGGGAGATTAGGGGAACGAAGAATGATATAAACATAAAAACTCGGAGGGCCGCACGGATTTCTCTGGACACGCCTCCCTGGCGCGCGGAGCGCGTGAAGGGCGGCGCCAGAGGCCTCTGAGAGGACCTCCGAATTTTTATGTTTATGTCATTATTCGTTCCCCTAAAGCCGGCCCCAAGAGAACTCAACCATGGCCCGTGGCGCGACAAGACAGAGCTGACATCATTCTGCGCGCAGCGTCCTTGGTGGAGCTCTTGTTGGAGCCATCGCGCCAATAAGACGGCCCCCCAAGACGCCCAGTAGGCCCCCAGCCAACTCTCCTAAACCTGCAAGAGGCGCTTCCGAGAGGCCCCGTGGGAAACACAAAATCTGCCTGTACGAAGCCTCCTACACGTTAGATACAATCCGAGTTCTGGCTACACCAAGCTACAGCGTCGGAGCCCTGAGTCCTGGACCATCCGAGATGGCTCTGCCCCCCACCTTCGGGACAGCACGGCAGATCCATCCTGCATTAGTGTTGATGCTGCGCTGGAACGGTGTCGGTGCTTTCCGCAAGCATCCTGACTTTGGGCAGTCCATGCCGGACACCAACGGATCGAACGGATTCTGGCGCCCCGCCAAAAAAAACCCGACGATACGCAACTACCAGACATGCCGTGGGGGCCAAGAGTCCCTGACAACACCCTTTCCTTCGAGCTCCGGGACCCCTGTAGGGATAGGACATGAGTTGGCACGACAAAAATGGGGAAGGAAAATGAGGACGTTGCCAAACATTACATCGGCGGCTGTCGAGCATGCGGCGTCCGCCTCAAATCCACAACGTCCGCGGCGATACCGACAGCGAGTCCTGCTCAACGCGGGCAGGAACTACTGCCAGTCTTCCTCTCCGCTCTTTCCGTCCCAACTCCCGCACCCTCGAAGGGGGGAGCGGGACAAGAGCCATACGGACGATTCGCGAACGACACAGCTCGGCGCACCAGGCTTGGGGAAACCAACAGGTACCAAGACCGCTGCTCCCCGGACCTTTCCCAAGCCGCTCTGACCAGGATTTCGAGGCGAATCCAGCGGTGGCGACGAGGACATCCCAGGAGGGCCCACAAGGGGGAATACGAGGGAAGAGTAGCCGTAGGGGCACCGATTTCCTCCCCTGAGGGCTGCCCGGGCTGGCGGCGCGCAAGAGGGGACGGGGGCAGGGGGGAAGGCTTCTTAGAAGCACCCTGGTTCTTGGAAGGCCCCGGCCTCACGTCCGTAGAGAAGACCCGCGCCTCCTGAGAAGCAGGGGTGCTCCTGAGAAGCCTTCCCCCCTCCCCCAGAATACCCCCCTCTGCGCGTGGCCGGTGAATAGAGGTCCTAGATGGGGTCGGAGTAGATGGGGTCGGAGGATCGCGCCACATCGATAATACATCGGCGCTGTATCAGCGATGTATCGGCGACGCATCGGCCATGCACTGGCGACATCGGCGGTACATCCACGACGTCGGCGCGGAGAAAATTTGGCCCCACATCGAGCCGCATCGGCAATGCATCGGCGATGCATCGGCGATGCGGCGCGATCCTCCGACCCTATATCTACTCCGACCCCATCTGGGAGGCCTAGAGTGAAGGCTGCCCCGCACCGCCGCGCTCCCGACCACCACGCTTCGAGGCTTCCTCGGCGCCGGCCGGCGGGCCGCTGGTGGCGCCGCCTGCCCTGCCGCCGGCCCCAAAGAGCGCCCGCGCGCGGCGGCCTGCCCGCCCTCGGGGGGGGGGGGGCGGGGGCGGGGGCGACGCCCGGCGCCTGAGCCGAGAGGGGCCGAGCCAGGGCACGACGGCATCGGGCGAAGGTCTGGTGGACCCAGAAAAAGGTTGGAGGCCTGGAAATTGGCAACAACACCAGCACAGGGGTTTGCCTCCACGAGGGGAAGATGCTCCTAGATTTCGGTGTTGGTGGTAATATTTCGGTCACCTTGGAAGCCAGAATATTACCACCATCACTGAGATCGGGATCGTCTTCCCTCGGTGGAGGCACACCGCCGATCTCGGTGTTGGTGTCAATCTCTAGGCCTGCGAAACGGGGGTCCAGCTACAGAAGGGGTGGTGCAATACATCTGGCGCCGCAGATCTGTGGGGTTGCAGCAGAAGTGGGGCGTGCGATATACTTGCGTTCCGGGGCGCAGATCTTTTGCCGGAGTTTCGCGTGCCATACCTTAGTTGCAATACAATGCAACACACTTCTCTGGCGCAATACATTCGCAATCCAATTGCCCCAGATCTATTGCACCACCCCCTTTCAGCTGGACCCCCTTTTGGGCCAACCAAAGAATGTTGATAGTGACACGAGGCCAGGATTAGGTCGGGCATGTCTTCCTAAGGGGGGAGTTTAGACTGATAATCAATAAGTCAAACATAATCAAAAATATTCAAACATAAGACAACAAACATCGTCACTATACTATGTTTCAGCTCTTCTTGAATAATCCTCTAGGCCAGGACGAGAAGATCAACGGGTGGAGGATGAATCCAGAATCTCCGAGCTCCGGAGGCTCTCTGGAGCATGTCTGGTGGGCGCTCCGCGGCCTTCTCAGAGCGTGCCGGACCGCTCTGAGAGCGTTCCAGAGCGCTCGGGATCGGACTTGTCCTCGTCCTGGCCCCGCCTGAAACAGAGAAGGGGGTGGTGACCCCTGAGCTTCCAGAGTGCTACAACAAAACGCTCCAGACCTGTAGACCTATCTGGACTGCTTAAACCTCGACTGGAATTCGGGTATCTACAGGGCAGTTTCTAATACATTAGATCTGTTTTAGTATTGGATGTTTAATACATGGTTAATTCATGAATACATTTACGCATGAACTCATCGTTGTTTTTAGTACTGAACCCCTGCTTTTTTTAAAAACACACGATCCGCACGCGGAGCATGTGTCAAAAAACGGCACTGTAGGTCCAGGAGCTCGTTTTTTGGCCCTCCTGGAAGGTCCGGGGAGACGCTCCAGACCTATAGATAGGCACTGTAGGTCCAGAGTGCTAGAACAAAACGCTCCAGACCTATAGACCTCTCCGGGCTGCTTAAACCTCGACTGGAATTTGGGTATCTAGGCCCAGGAGCAATTTTTTGGCCCTCCGGGAAGGTCCGGGGAGACGACGACGACGAGCGCGAGGGGCGGGGCCAGGGGAGGCCAGCGCGGGTGGCGCTGGAGCCCTCGGAGCTCGTCGTCGAGGTCGGCGTGCGGAGGCTGCGGAGGGGGAGGTCTGAGCATGTTCTTAGGGTGGAGGGCTCAGGGTGAAATCCATAAGGGCTTTTGCACCTCGAAAATCAATCCGTCTTGTGACTCACCCTTTGCAGGTTCAAGCCTCGAGAAACCATCGAAACGGCATTTCAGATTTCACCCTTTGCCCTCCACCCAAGGACAATGCTCGGGAGGTGCTCCTGGTCCCGGCGTCGGTGTCCGCGGGGCTTGATCTGTACCTGGGGCGTGTCCTCCTGCAGAGGGGTTTTGGCGAAAAATAAACAAAACAATACTCAAAAAAATACCCCCCAAATTGGCAAACGTAGTCGGAACATCGTCCCCTGACGATGTTCCGACTACTCTTGGGGACGCGCCCGACGTAAGGTTTGATCGCAGGAGGTTGAGGGTGAGGGGGACATGCAGGAGAACGACAGCTTCGCGTCGTGCCGACCCTGGCGATGGTCCCTGTCATCGCAGGAAGCACTCAACCTTGACCGATCGGTAGTTCACCAAACGTCCGATCGTTCAACGTCGACCGATTTTGGGTCGCCAACGGCATGCAACCTTGACCGCCCGCGCTTGGGTCGCCACCTGTCGACACGAAACGCACTTACCGTAGGTGGCGTGAGGATCTGCTGTCGGTCTCTCGCCGCGAGCTGCCGCGCGAGAAAGGCGTCGCCGCGCGAGGAAGCAGCTCACGCCACCTTGTCTGAAATCTCACCCCCACGGATGGGAGGGGGCGGGGGGGAGGGCAATTCGGGGGTGCAAAAGTGTGAACCCAACAGGGGGCCTCGCCCCGCGTCCAACTGGTTGTTGGCAGGTTGTGCCCCTCTTTACTCCCTGTTATACGCTCTTCCTCGTGCACCGCGACCGGATCATCAGGATGCACGGTAAGGATGAAAGACCTCTGGACGCGCAAATTGGAGCCGAAGCTGGAAGCCCAGGGCCCATGGCCTACGGATGGGGAACAGGCTGAGCCAGGAGGCAAGGATGCAAGGGCTCCCTTGGGAAACTGCTCATCCTTGTCATCCTGTTTGGCTGCAACCCTCCTTCCGAGAACAACGGGGTAGCTGGGATCCCAGGGTGACAGGGTGGCAGGAGGGCAGGGTGACCAGTGGAGCGGAGCACCAGGTCGGTCGGTCAGGGACCCCGAGCTTTGCCCGAGGGGCACGCAGCAGCTGAAGAGCCAGGAGGGGAGCAGCGGCACCCGCCCCGTATGGGGTCAGCAAGAGCCGAGCGAGACTTGCATGTGGACGGACGGCAAGCGCAACGGGAGGTCGGCCGGCCCCAGGCCTGCTCGCGCATCATTCTCATCAGCCGCAAGAACTCGTGGAGATCCATGGAGCCGTTCTTGTTGAAGTCCACCCGCTTGATCAGGGAGTTCACCTGGCGAGGGCCCCGAATGACTCCGCACGGAGCGGCTCGTCTGAGACTCCTCCTCCTCCTCCTCCTCCTGACTCCTCCTCCTCCTCCTCCTCCTCCTCCTCCTCCTCCTCCTCCCTCCTCCTCCTCCTCCTCCTCCTCCTCCTCCTCCTCCTCCTCCCTCCTCCTCCTCCTCCTCCTCCTCCTCCTCCTCCTCCTCCTCCTCCTCCTCCTCCTCCTCCTCCTCGTGCCCGGATCTCGGGACGAGCCGACCCAGAGGCACTGCAAGAGTCGAGGGGGTCCCTAGATTTAGGTCGGGCATGTCCTCCTACAGGGGGATTTTGGATTCAAAAATTTAAGAATTAAAGCAAACGCAGAAAACGATACTGAACAAATCGTCCCCTGATTATTTTCCAGTTACTATTTTTGAATGTTCCTCCTGTGCAGGGACAGGCCCGACTTAACCCTAGATCGATACACTGAGCACGCAGAGGAAGGAGGGGAAGGGAGGGGGCGGGCGGGCGGTGGCGGGCGGGGGCGAAAAGCGGGGGAACCGCGGACGCCCTTCAAGATCCCCCCCCGTGCTTCCAAACAAAACCATGAGGGCCTCGCGGGGCCCCCCGTGCTTCCAGACAACACCGTCAGGGCCTCTCGGGGCCCCTGATTAAGGAAAGACTGGGACCTCGAGAGAGCGGGCCCGAGAATGACAAGGAGGGGCAGCCGTGGTCGACACGTCGAGGCGGCCCCTCCTGTGGATGAGTAGAGGAGGCCTCCCAGACGCGGTCAGAGGAGATGGGCCTGCCGGCCTCGGCCGCCGATCCGGCCGCCGCGCCGCCCTGCGCCGCCTCGCCGCCCTGGCTGGGCCGGGCGTCCTGGGCCAGGAGGCTCTCAAGTCGGGCGTGTCCCTCTACGGGAGGACTGCTTTCTGTTGGGCACCGCTGCCCGACCAGCTTGGCAGTTCACAGCTCACCGTTCCACAGGAGGAATCTCCCAGATAGGTCAAGAAACAGTCGGGAGACAAATGTTTTGAGTGCTTCCTTGATGTTTAATGAGCTTGTGTTGACGGCGTTTGCTTTCTCGTCCAGAAAACCCGCCTGTAGGAAGACATGCCCGACCTGCCGCCCAGGCCGGGCCGGGCGTCCGCCCCGGGCCAGGATGAGGCGGGCCCTCGCCCCATGCTGGCCCTGCTCGACGGCACGCGCAAAAGGGGGTGGCACCATGGGGCTCCTCAAACATAAGCTCGCGCGCGGGCTGCTCGGTGCGCCGACGGTCCGTGCCTGTCAGGACGTGGACGGTGCGTGCCTGCGCCGCCGTCGTTGGCCGATGGGTTCTCGTCGCCGCGGCTGGACCTGGCTCGTGGGGCATGGGGTCGGGGCCTCGTGGTCTCGGGGGTGTTCCGGGTGCTGACGTCGCCTGTCCGTCGTAAAGACAAACTCGCGCGCGAGCTGCCCACCAGTGGTGCCCTCGGCGGAGGCTTCGTCGGAAGCTCAATCGGTGGGGCGCCAGAACTTTAACGGCAGTGGTCGCGGCAGGGAGGGGCCTCTGGCGCGCGGCTCTCAGAGGGGCCGCGGGGGGGCCTCCGAGCACAGGCGCGCGCAAGGGGCTGCTGTCGCGCGGCCCCTCGCGGGAGGAGGCTCACGGAGCACGGAGCGCTGGAAGAGGGAGGGGAGGAGGGGGGTTCGCTCGGCGATGGGCTCGCTGCTGTCGCATCGCGCTCGGCGATCTCGGGGGACCCCGATGGGCCCGCACCAAGGGTCACTCCAGCGAAGGGTCACTCTCACGCGTGGTCGACCGTCCCATCCAGCGGTAGGTCGGGCCTGTCCTCGCACAGGCGGATTTTGGATGACAAATAAAACGAACCAACAATTATTAAAAACAAATGCTGAACTCATCCTTCCCCGACTGTTTCTTGACTACGTAGGCAGACTCCTCCTGTAGAGGGACGCGCCCGACCTCGTACAGGCTGATTTGGGAAGAAACATACAACTAACAAGCAATATTTCAAAACAAATACTGAACAAATCGCCACCCGACTATTGTTTGACTCTGTTCGCAGACTCCTCCTGTAGAGGGACACGCCCGACCTCGTACAGGCGGATTTGGAATGACAAATAAAACGAACCAGCAATTATTCAAAACAAATACTGAACACATCGTTCCCCGACTATTTCTTGACTGCGTTGGCAGATTCCTCCTGTAGAGGGACACGCCCGACCTCATACAGGCGGATTTGGGAAGAAACATACAACTAACCAACAATACTTCAAAACAATTACTGAACAAACCGTCACCCGACTATTGTTTGACTCTGTTTGCAGATTCCTCCTGTAGAGGGACACGCCCGACCTCGTACAGGCAGATTTGGGATGACAAATAAAACGAACCGACAATACTTCAAACCTAATACTGAATGCATTTTTCCCGACTATTGTTTGACTATGTTCGCAGATTCCTCCTGTATGGGGGGCGCGCCTGACCTCGCACAGGCGGATTTGGGATGAGAAATAAACCAGCCAACAATTACTCAAAACGAATACTGAACAAATCGTTCCCCGACTATTGCTTGACTACTTTGGCAGATTACACCTGTGGAGGGACACGCCCGACCCGAGCCCAGCGTCGGCGACGTCGGGCGCCTTCAGCTGCGGCAGGGCGACCCGGATCAGAGCGCCCCCTGCGCAGCTGGAGGAGTGCTCGACGCACGGTCTCCCCCGGGGCCGCAGGCGACCCGAGGGGGGGGGGGTGAGGGAGAGGAGGAGGAGGAGGAGGAGGAGGAGGAGGAGGAGGAGGAGGAGGAGGAGGAGGAGGAGGAGGAGGAGGAGGAGGAGGAGGGGGTGGAGGAGGGGGGGAGGAGGGGGAGGGGGAGGAGGGGGAAGGGGTGGGGGAGTTGGAGAAGGAGGAGGAAGGAGGAGGAGGAGGAGAAGGAGGAGGAGGAGGAGGAGGAGGAGGTGGAGTGAGGGGGAGGGAGGAGGAGGAGGAGGAGGAGGAGGAGGAGGAGGAGCGAACGAAACCAATCGGCCCCGTTCGGGGCGGCTACCGCGGGCGCGCGGCGGCCTGGCGACTCAGGTCGCAGTCGTAGTTGTTGTAGGTGGAGTACTTGGGAGCGTAGTAGTCAGAGGGCTCAAGGTCTGAGCTTGAGGGCGTGGACAAAAGTGAAGACAAGACATTCACAAAAGAACCCAGGGATTCCGCGTGGGAATCCAGTATCTGATTGAATGACGATGCGCACTGCTCCGATCTGATGCTCGTGAGCATGTTGGCGAAATACTCGACGAAGTTCGCCGTTGAGTCTGCGGGACTGTCGCGCGTGATCAACTTCTCGCAATTAGTTTTGTCGTTGCGTTGCTGTAGATCGTCCTTGCTCTCATCCGAAAACTCATCGCAGGCAGCCGTGTAGATGCGCTCCATCTTCGCCAACCGAAGGTCGAGGGACTCGAAACCCTTGTTCACAGTGTTGATGAGCATCTGCATCTTCTCAAGCACTGTGTCGTAGAGCAGCGTGTTGGTGGAGGCCATCTGCTTATTTAGGTTCTCCGACAATGCCAGCATCGACTTGCTGTTGAGCAGCGTTAGCTCTTTGGCCCCAGACGCGACCGAGTCCTCCAGCTTGCACATCGAGACGAACGCGGCGGCGGCACCGCACGAGACCTCCGCCGATTGGAGAGGGGGCGTGATCGTGTCGAGGCACAGGCCCGCGGAGACGATGTCAGCCCAGGACTTGTTGCCGGCACCGGAATCATCAGTAGGACGACGACGCGCGCGAGGACCGTCAGGAGGAAGGCCACGGTGAACATGTTTCGAGCGATCGGCATGCTCCAGGACGGCGCGAGCCTTCATGTAGTCGAACTTGGTGAGCTCGCCTCGCCGTAGCGCGCGATGGGCAGCAACTTTCCCAGACGAGGAGGAGGAGGAGGAGGAGGAGGAGGAGGAGGAGGAGGAGGAGGAGGATGAGAGGAGGAGGAGGAGAGAGGAGGAGGAGGAGGGGGAGGAGGAGGGGGAGAAGGCGGAGGAAGGAGGAGAAGGGAGGAGGAGGAGGAGGAGGAGGAGGGGAGGAGGATGAGGACGAGAACGAGGAGGAGGGAGGAGAAGAGAGGAAGAGGAGGAAGGAGGAGGAGGAGGAGGAGGAACAGGGGAGGAGGAGGAGGAGGAGGAGGAGGAGGAGGAGGAGGAGGAGGAGGAGGAGGAGGAGAGGTCGCCAAAGCCCTTCGGAGAAACCCTCCAGAGCTCGAGCTGCCGCGGCTCGACGCTGGGCAATGCCGTGCCCACGCCCGGCGCGGGTGTGGGCGAGGCCCGGCGCGGGTGTGGGCGAGGCCTTGGCACGCGACCTCTCTTTTCTCGATGCAAGGCAAAAGTGCGGGCAGTGGCTATATCCACATCCCGTGCGTTTTGGAGTTTCGGGTTCTCTTCCCCAGAAGCAGGAGGCGCACAGGCTTTGGATCACAGTCTGGCTCCTGAGGGCTCGATGTTTGCCCATGTCCAGTGCGCCTCGGCCTTGCGGCGCCCCTTTCCAAGATAGACCAAGACGCACTGGATATGGATATAAGTATGGCCCGCCAAAATTTGCACATGCAGACCATAAACACATTCATTTAAAAAACTAACGAGCAACAGATGCCGACAAAGTGCAACCAGGGCGGTGCCAATTTAGTCGGGCACTTTTTTGCAGCTGCGCTGTTCGGCGCGGCGCCAAGGAGGCGAACTCAGCTGGCCGAAGAGGAACAAGACTTGCCCGCGCGCAGGCGAGCAGTCGTGCCACCAGTGGCATACACCTCCCATCATGGCCGCCGCGGCTGGGGCGGAGGGTGGTCACAGCAGCCACCTGGATTCCGAATCGGCTTGTTCCAGCGATCACAGTTACCCTCGTCGTGCGATCGTCTTCGCAGCTGGCACCTATAATCGGGCCAAGACGCACCAGCAGTGGACAGCAGGTGCAAGACCTGTCCTGAGACGCGCAAGTTGTGCGCGTGTGGCTCCAGCTCTGCTCTGTCGGGCTGTCCTCATCTCGCTTTGCCTGACTCCGCCGCGTCGTGCGCGCGTGGCCGCAACGCCAAACAGTTTGTTGCTCCATGTGGTCAGTCTGCAACCAAGAGTGCGATAGAAAGGCAATCCGCAGCTGCGGTCAGCTGGTATCAGCAGAAGTGGCGGCCAATCACTAGCAGGGAGCAGAGGGGATGGCAGGGCAAGGGAAGAGAGGGTGAGCTGGCAACTCAGGAGAGGAAGCCGGAGCGGGATGGGGATACGCAGAGCCTCTGCCTGACAACTCACGAGCAACTGGCACGAATAAAGACATACATGACACATAGGGGAGACGCAACAAGCCGGCCTCGTCGACGTTCGTGGTATTCCCGAGGTACCTGGACCAAGGAAGAGAGCAGGAGCCGATCCAGGGATGCCCGTGCCTGTGCGACGCTGGCTCCCGCCACTGCCGCCCCCCGTCGCTCCACCCCGCTGCAGAAACAGGAGGAGTACCCAGGGGCCCAGGCCCACGAATTCTAGGCCCGCTTTGGCGCTTCTTTGGCTTCTCCCCGTTCTCCCATGGCTTCTGCAGAGGTGCAGAGTAATCGAGATTCCCCCATCAGCGCTTGCACTGAATAGGGAGCAAACAAACCTACCTCGCTTTTGACCACCCTCGCTTCCAAGAGATACCGAGCGATGCCAAACTACGGCCTGTACTGGTGAGGCCGCTTGACGAGAAGGCGCGTGGTATGACTTGGTTTTGCCTGGAAGCGGAAGCGGGGTAGGTAATTCACGCTCTGACTGAAGGGGTCCTAGCGGCAAGTGAAAAATTCGGCGAGACTGTCGCGCCGATGTTGGTGGCCAGCTGGGTTCCCCGGTTCCCGGTTCTGGGTTCCCGGGTTCCTGGTCATTGGTTCCGGTCCGATTTCGGTGGCTTTCGGGTTCCCAGGTTCCCGGTCGATGTCCTGATAGATCTCGTAATCGATCCCATTCCAAACCATCCACTGATTGGGGCTGTTCTCTGGTGTAATACATTTGTCAAGAATGTGGGCCCCACAGGGTGGTGCCACGGAGGAGCCGTGGGACTGGCACGGTGGCTGGGCGTGCCGAAGGCCGCTAGATCCGCCGCCCCCTGCTTGCAGGGGTGCACGGCGTGCTGGATGAGCTGGTCAGGTTTTGGTTTTGGTTCTTTTTCCAAAAGAACTCCCCAGTGGGCTCCGGCAGAACCCGCCGGCCACCCGGAAAATCCCCAAACGTGCTCAACGACCGGAAAAAATCCTCCATAAACGGCCGTTTCGCTCGGGACATCCTCAACAAATCGCGAAGATGGCCCAAGATGGCCTCCAAGTCCGCCCGAGATGGTCCAAGACGGCCTCCAAAACGGCCCAAGAGAGTCCAAGACGGCCCAAGACGGCCCAAGAGGCCCCCCAGAGGCCTCCCAGACGGCCCAAGAGGCCTCCAAGAGGTCCTCCAGGAGAGTCCGAAGAGGCCAAAATCATTGATTTTCCTTGGTTTTTGAAGGATTTTGGCATTTGCGCCTTTTCGGCTCTCCGACGGCTCAAGACGGCCCAAGAAGCCCCCAAGATCGCCCAAGAGGCCCCCAAGAGAGCCCCCTGATGGCCCAAGTGGCCTCCAAGATGGCCCCTAGAGGGCCCCAAGACGGCCCAAGAGGCCTCCAACACGCCCAAGATGGCCTCCAAGACGCCCAAGATGGCCTCCAAGACGGCCCTGGAGCGCCCCAAGAGGGTCCCCCGTTGGCCCAGAAAGGCCCCCAAAACGGCTCCCGACGGCGTCAGACGTGCCAGGAACCCACCAAGATGGCCGAAGTTGGCTCGAAGCTGGCCCAAAAGGGCCCAAGAGGCCCCCAAGAGGGCCTCCAGGAAGGCCAAAAGATGCCAAAATCACTGATTTTCCCAAGGTTTTTGATGGATTTGGGCATTTCCCTTTTTTCGGCCTTCCGACGGCCCGAGACGGCCCAAGAGCCCCCAAAGATCGCCGAAAGATCGCCCAAGAGGCCTCCAAGACGGCGACGATGACCATCAAGACGCCCACGTGTTCCCCGAAGGCTTTCCAAACCGATTCGGGGAACACATGGTCCGATGGCTTGGCAGGTCTGGCCTCAACGTTCGGCCACATAGGCGCTTCCACAAAGGCAGGGGGCGGCGGTGATTCGCCGTAGGCGTCTTCGATCCGCCGCCCCCTGTCGATTCATCACAGGGGTGCCTGGCGTGCTGAACTTCCTACGGTTTTGGTTTTGGGTTTTTTTCCAAAAGAACTTCCCCAGTGGGCTCCGGCACGTCCCGCCAGGGTCCCGGGAGGATGCCCAAAGATCTTCCAGAGGTGGTTGCAAAGGGTTTTTCCGTTCCAGACAGCTCCAAAATGGCCCAAGATGGCCTCCAAGATGCCTCCAAGACGGCCAAGATGCCCTCCGAGACTGCTAAGATGGCCCCAAGATGCCTCCAAGACGGTCCAAGAAACACCCACGACGGCCTAAGATAGCCTCAAGATGGCCCAAGACGGCCCAAGAGGCCCAAGAGGTCCTCCAGGACGGCCCGAAGAGGCCAAAATCGTTGATTTCCGCTGGGTTTTCGAAAGATTCTGGCATTTGCTCCTTTTCGGCTTTCCGACGGCCCAAGACGGCCCAAGAGGCCCCCAAGATCGCCCGAGAGGCCTCCAAGACTGCCCCATGATGGCCCAAGAGGCTCCCACGACGGCCCCAAGAGGGCCCGAAGATGGCCCAAGAGGCCTCCAAGACGCTCATGATGGCCTCCAAGACGCCCAAAATGGCCTCCAAGACGGCCCCGAAGCGCCCCAAGAGGGCCCCAAGTCGGCCCAGAAAGGCCCCCAAGAAGGGTCCCGACGGCGTCAGACGTGCCAGGAACTCACCAAGATGGCCGAAGTTGGCTCGAAGCCGGCCCAAGACGGCCCAAGAGGCCCCCAAGAGGCCCCCAAGAGGGCCTCCAGGAAGGCCAGAAGAGGCAAAAAACATCGATATTCCTGAGGTTCTTGACGGATTTTGACATTTGCTTCTTTTCGGCCTACCGACGGCCCGAGACGGCCCAAGAGCTCCCGAAGATCGCCCAAAGATCGCCCAAGAGGCCTCCAAGATGGCCCCAGAACGGCCCAAGAGGGCCCCAAGACGGCCCCAAGAGGCCCCCAAGACGGCACAGGAGGCCTTTAAGACGCCCAAGATGGCCTCCAACATGGCCCTGGAGCATTCCAAGAGGGCCCCAAGTCGGCCCATCGAGGCCCCCCAAACGGCTTCCGACGGCGTCAGACGGACCAGGAGCCCACCAAGACGGCGGACCATGGCCCTAAGATGGCCCAAGACGGCCCAAGAGGCCTCCAAGAGGGCCTCCAGGAAGGGCCGTAAATGCCAAATTCATTGATTTCCCATGCGTTTTTGAAGGATTGTGCATTTGCTGTTTTTCGGCCTTCCGACGGCCCGAGACTGCCCAAGTGCCCCCAAAGATCGCCCAAGAGGCCCAAGAGGCCCAAGACACGGCCCCAAGAGGCTCCCAAGACGGCCCAAGAGGTCTCCAAGACGCTCAAGATGGCCTCCAATACGGCCCAAAAGCCCTCCAAGACGTCCTCCAAGAAGGCCTGGAAGGGTCAAAATGGCTTCCAGACAGCCAAGATGACCGTCAAGATGCCCACGTGTTCCCCGAAGGCTTTACAAACCGACTCGGGGAACACATGGTCCGATAGCTTGGCAGGTCTGGCCTCAATGTTCGGCCACATCGGCGCTTCCAAAAAGGCAGGGGGCGGCGGTGATTCGCCGTAGGCGTCTTCGATCCGCCGCCCCCTTTTGATTTATCAAAGGGGTGCCTGGCGTGCCGAACGATATGGCTTTTGGTTTTGATTCTTTTTCCAACAGAACTCCCCCTGGGGCTTCGTCACGTCCCGCCGGCCACCCGGAAAACCCACCTGTCGTCGCCTTTGTTGCCCCAAGGTGGCCCACGATGGCCTCCAAGACGGCCAAGATGGCCCAGGATGGCCTCCAAGATGCCTGCAAGACGGCCAAGATGGCCTGAAAGACGGCTAAGATGGCTCCAAGATGCACCCAAGACGGCCCAAGGTGGCCTCAAGATGGTTTACGACGGCCCACAAGGCCCGCAAGCGGTCTCCAAGACGGCCCAAGAGCCCTCCAAGACGTCCCCCAGGAAGGCCCGAAAGGGCCAACATCATCGATTTTCATGTGGTTCTTGAAAGATTTTGGCATATGCGCCTTTTCGGCTTTCCGACGACCCAAGACGGCCCAAGAGGCTCCCAAGATCGCTCCAAGATCGCCCAAGAGGCCTCCAAGAGGGCCTCAGGACTGCCCAAGAGGCCCCAAAGACGGCCCCAAGAGGGCATAAAGACGACCCGAGAGGCCTCCAAGACGCCCAAGATGGCCTCTCAGATGGCCCTGGAGAACCCCAACAAGGTCCCGAGTCGGCCCAGAACGGCCCCCCCCCAACCGCTTCCGACGGCGTCAGACGAGCCAGGAGCCCACCAAGATGGCCGAAGTTGGCTCGAAGCTGGCACAAGACAGCCCAAGAGGCCTCCAAGAGGGCCCCCAGGAAAAGGCCAAAAACACTGATGTTCCGTAGGTTTTTGAAGGATTTTGCCATTTGCTTCGTTTCGGCCTTCCGACGGCCCGATACGCCCCACGAGAGGCTTTTAAAACCCCAAGATGGCCTCCAAGACGGCCCTGGAGTATTTTAAGAAGGCCCCAAGTCGGCTCAGAGAGCCCCCCCAAACGGCTTCCGACGGCGTCGGACGGGCAAGGAGCCCACCAAGACGGCCGAAGATGGCCCTAAGATGGCCCAGGACGGCCCAAGAGGCCTCCAAGAGGGCCTCCAGGAAGGCCCGAAAAGGCCAAATTCATTGATTTCCCATGGGTTTTTGAAGGATTGTGGCATTTAGTTTGTGTTCGGCTTCCGACGCCCCGAGACGGCCCAACTGCCCCCAAAGATCGCACAAGAGGCCCAAGACGGCCTCAAGAGGCCCCCAAGACGGCCCAAGAGGCCTCCAAGACGCTCAAGATGGCCTCCAAGACGACCAACGAGCCCTCCAAGACGTCCTCCAAGAAGGCCCGAAAGGGCCAAAATGGTCTTTTCAGGCGGCCAAGATGACCTTCAAGATGCCCACGTGTTCCCCGTAGGCTTCCCAAACCGATTCGGGGAACACATGGTCCGATCGCTTGGCAAGTCTGGCCTCAACGTTCGGCAACATAGGCGCTGCCCAGAAGGCAGGGGGCGGCGGTGATTCGCCGTAGGCGTCTTCGATCCGCCGCCCCCTGTTGATTCATCACAGGGGTGCCTGGCGTGCTAGACGATCTCGATTTTGGTTTTGGTTCTTGTCCAAAGAACTCCCCCTGGGGCTCCGGCGCGTCCCGCTGGGGTCCCGGGAGGATTGCCCAGACGTGGTTGCACAGGTTTTTTCTCTCGAGACGGCTCCAAGCCTGCCCAAGATCGCCTCCAGGATGCCTCCAAGACGGCCAAGATGGCCTCCAAGACGGCTCCGATGGCCCCAAGATGCCTCCAAGAGGGCCCAACATGCCTCCCAGACGGCCTAAGATCGCCTCAAGACGGTTCAAGACGGCCCAAAGAGGCCCCCAAGAGCCCCCCAAGGCGCCCCCAAGAAGTCCTCAAGGAGAGCCCGCAGAGGCCAAAATCAGTGGTTTTCCTTAGGTTTTTGAAGAATTTGGGCATTTGCTTCTTTTCGGACTCCTGAAGACATCAAGGCGGCCCAAGAGGACCCCAAGATCGCCCAAAAAGCGCTCACGAGGCCTCCAAGATGGCCCCTTCACGGCCCAGGAAGCCCCCAAGAGGGCCTCAAGAGGGCCCCAAGACGGTCTAAGAGGCCTCCAATACGCCCAAGATGGCCTCCAAGACGGACCCGAAGCGCCCCAAGAGGGCCCCAAGTCGGTTCAGAGAGGCCCCCAATACGGCTCCCGACGGCGTCAGACGGGCCAGGAACGCCATAAGACGGCCAAAAAAGCTCCCGAGAAGTCCCCAAAGGGCCCCAAGAGGCCCTCAACAGGCCCCAAGAGAGCCCAAGATAGCCCCAACATGGTCTCCAAGACGGTCCCAAGATGGTCCAATCGAGTCCAAGAGTGCCTCAAGAGGCTCCGAAGAGGCATCCTCCCCCTTCTCCTTTTTGCTCCTCCTCCTCCTCCCCTTCCTCCCCCCGCGTTCCCCGAAACCTTTCCAAACCGACTCGGGGAACACATGGTCCGATAGCTTGGCCAAGCTCTAGCCCAGCTGTCGGACACATAGGCGCTTCCACAAAGGCAGGGGGCGGCGGTGATTCGCCGTAGGCATCTTCGATCCGCCGCCCCCTGTTGGCTTGCCACAGGGATGCACGGCGTGCTGTATTTTGAATGTCCCTGGTCCTTTCACGGTCAGGGGATTTTGCACAGCGTGTCGCGGCGGCGGCCCCACCGGCACGCTATGCCCTCCGAGCGGACAGCGCATCGCTCCGCTCCGCGGGGCGGGGGGCTCGGAAAAACTGTGGATATTGACGCTGGAGGGCCTGAACGAGGATACCGTGTCGCACCGGAGCATGGTGGGCCAGAACTGGCGGCGCGATACGCTAAATTCCTGCCTCGGCCGACAGCGACAATCACACGGGAGGACCCGTGAAAAAGGTCTCCCCTCTGTTCTCTCTTGCCACATGTCGTTAAAGGCTTAACAACTCCTGCCGTCCTTCGACTCGCGCTGGAGCGGCCGCGAATTGCTCGAACCTTCCCTGGAGATCTCTGGATTTACTTGGGTGTGCCTGGATGTATTTCGATTTACCTGGGTTTGCATAGATGTATCTGCATTTACCTGGAATTACCTGACTCGATCCCCACAAGTCGATGGGCGCAAAATCGGCATGCCCATTAGGAAGCAGAAAGACCCGTAAACTTCCCACGACAACTGTCGTCCCGCTGCAGGAAGCCCCAAGATGGCACTCAGTACTGCCAAGATGGTCTCCAAGACGGCCGCGATGGCCCCAAGAGAGCCCACGATGGCCCCAAGATGCCTCCAAGACGGGGCCGAGATGCCCTCAAGATGGCCCAAGATGGCCTCAAGATCGCCCAAGAGGTTTCTAAGACGGCCCAAGAGACCTCCAAGAGGATCTTCAGCAAGGTCCGAAGAAGCCAACATCGCTGATGTTCTTCAGGTTTGGGATAGAAGGGTTCGGGCGTTTGCTCATGTTCGGCTTTCCCACGGTCCAAGACGACCCCAAAGGCCACCAAGATGGCCCTCAGAGAGCACAAGAGGCCTCCGACATGACCGCGAGACGGCCCAAGAGGCCCCGAAGATGGTCCCAAGACGGCCCAGGATATCTCCAAGACGCCCGAGATGGCCTCCAAGACGACCCTGAAGCGCGCCAAGAAGGCCCCAAGTCGGCCCAAGGATGCTCCCAAGACGGCTTCGACGGCGTCAGGCGGGCTGGGGAGGCCCTCGGACGGCCAAAGAGCATCGCAAGGAGCCCCGCAGGCCCCGAAGAGGCCAAAGGAAGCCCACAAGTGGCGTCCACGAGGCCCCCAGGAAGCTCCCAGGAGGCTCCAAGAGTGCTCCAATCCCAGGAGGCCTCCTCCTCATCCTTTTTCCTCCATCTCCTCCTCCTCCTCTTCCTCCTCCTCCTCCTCCTCTTTCTCTCCCACGTGTTCACCGAAGGGTTTCCAAAACAGGTAGGGGAACACATAGTCCGATAACTTGGCCGAGCTGTGGCCGCAATGTTCAGCCACAGAGGCGCTTCCAAAAGGCAGGGAACGGCAGTGACTCGCCGTAGGCGTCTTCGATAACCACGTACACCTCCTGCGATGCGTGCTGGCCTCATGTCCAGGAGGGTACCGGATCAAGTCGAGCACCTGTAGTTGGGTCAGCTCCCCCGTCTGATGATAGTTGAATTTCTGGAACGCGGCGCTGGCGGTCGCGCGCGGCGATTTGGGCAGGGCAGGGGGCGAAAGAGAGACTAGCAGGCTGAGACGACGGGGCAAACAACGAGGAGCGATGACGACGGACGTTGGAGGGACGAAGAGGGAAGGGTATGAGAGAGGAGGTAAGCGGCGGGGAGGAAAGGATAGTGGATAGGGAGAGGATGGGCATAGGGAGGACAGCACCCTTGCCAACCCCAGCATTCAGGCGGATGGGCTACCAGATGAGATGGAGGGTACACGCCTTTTGAGTGAGACTAGTTCGAACGGAATCATCAGAATCAGCCGAAAGCCCGAGCAACTCCAAACCACTAAGGAGCAGGAGAAGGGGGGAGGGGAGTGACGGAGGGAGTAGGGGAAGGGGGGAGGAGGGTGAGGGAGGGCAGGAGGGATGGGGAGGGGGAGGGGATGGCGGAGAACGAGGCGGGCGAAGGGGATCCAGAACCACACAACGTCTTGTTGAAAGATCACAGCCCGAACTCCCGAACCCATCGTTTCGCCAGGTTTCTCGAGCCCAGTCGTCCCGGCGAGGGCCCCCGCCCTAAACCAATGTAAGCGCGCCGTTCACACCTGTTCTCTGCTTCTTCCCCCCTAAACAACGCTTGCAATTAGAAGTCCTTACTTCTCTGCTGAGGAACTGGGCCTGCCCGTCGGTCTGGCGGCTACGTGGTGGCCGTCGCCGCACCGTCGCGGTCTGGGCCTGCAGAACTTTGCATCGCTTTGCATTACATTGCGTTGCATGGCATTGACTTGCGATGTGTTCTTTGCGTTGCTCTGCACGGGTTTACATTCACTTGCAGAACTTGGCGTTGCCTTATCTTGCTTTGGATGGTATTGCTTCGGTATGTTTATCATTGCTGCTCATTTCGTTTCTTTGGTTTGCTTTGCATTGTGTTGAGACGTGGTGCTTCGAATTGATTTGGATTGTTGTGCATTGCTGTCCGTTGCTGTGCAATGTTTTGCGTTGCATCGCATCGCCTTGATTTGCATTGCTGCGCATGGTTTCGCATTGCATTGTTTTGCGTTGCGTTGCTGTGCGATGCGTTGCATTGCGATGCGCTGCTCCGCTTTGCATCTAGTTGCATTGGTGTGCATTGCTTTGCAAATATTCGCCTTGCTCTGCTGTGCTGTATTGTGTTGAATTGTTTTGCACCACGTACGTCTCACCACGTGGACTGCAGCAGCTTGATTGCACTACGTGTGCTGCACCACTGCGGCTGCGCCGAATAGATGGCACTGAATCGCAGCTCGGGGTCCACGCTGGCTAACATACTGTTGAGTGAAGGCACGCGTGCACTGAACGGAGAAGAAGGAGGAGGAGGAGGAGGAGGAGGGAGGACGAGGACGGGAGGAAGGACCACGAGGATGTCTTCCAATGGCACGCGTGCACTAAACGGAAAAGGAGGAAGAGGAGGAGGAGGGAGGACGAGGACGGGAGGAAGGACCACGAGGATGTCTTCCACAATGGCAAAGCGGCCACGCGCACTACCCCGGAAGGCGCGGGTCCGGCGGGACGCCGCGCCGTCCCCGCGCGCGCGCACCAACGGCGCGCGCGCGCGGTATGGCACGCCCTGCTGCCGCCCGGCCATAGTGCCGAGCGGAGCGGGGTGCACGGGGAGCGGAGCGGGGCGGGTCGGCACCCGAACCCTGTTACCAGCCTGGAACATATCCCTATCCCTGTGCTTGGCATCTCCTCATCACGATGCCAATCTTAGGGATTCCCTATTTTTTGAGGGCGAATCCCTAAGATTGTCATCGCCTTTTGGCGAGCCAATCTTAAGGATAAGGATGAAGTCGAGGCTGGTAACCCTGGCCCGAGCTCGGGCCAACGACTGCGGACCCAACATGGCGATGGCAAAACTCCCGCTTCCCAACACTGAACCTGCAGTCTACCAACAAAACAGACGAAACAGGCAAAATTGATGTGGGTTGCCTTGCCTGCTCCTGATCCCTGGTCATGGTCTCATATCTGGCGAAGGTAGCTTGCAGCTGGGATGTGGACTTTAGTGTGCGCCTGCGGCAGCGTTTTGGAACGCTATGCTGGAGACCATCCGTGCCAGAGTCCCTGTTCGCGCGGAACCGCAAAGTGGGTTCCCCCTGCGGCACTACACGCTGGGATCGACCCGAATTGCACTCCCATCTTGAGGGACCCAGCGCATACCGGCCCCGCGGCCCAGGCCCGATCCAGTAGGAGAGCAGGCACATACAAGCTATGCGCTGAAGAGGATCCGAGCGGGAGAGTCTCATCCTCCGTCTCCATGCTCCTCCTACTCCTCCTTCTCCTCCTGCTTCTCCCTCGTCCTACTTGTTACTCACTCATATTCCGCTTCCTCCGCCTCCGCCTCCGCCCTCCTCCTCCCTGGCCCCCCCGTCAATGCCAATCGCTCCTACAGGAACGCATAACGCACTTACCATTCCCAACATCTGAGCAGCCTCAGCGTGTAACCCAAGTGACTTCTCTCTGCGTGTACCCCGCAGCCCCCTGACACTGCACGCTGCGAGCCCATTTCTTTCTTCAAAAGGTATTCGAGTACACGGGAACCTTCCCATCCCAACCGCAGGGCCACCTCCTATAGGCCCCGACATGGCACAGCGGTGGCGTACCCTGGTGAGCCGTGCATCCACGAGCGGGCACGCGCACGAATCGCTCACAGATCCTTGCGTGCAGCTGCAGGGAGCACATCGATGGCATGGCGACGCTGGCGCAGCGGAGGAAGGGGACTGCAGAGATCAGGAGAGGACCAGAATCGAAGCGAAGCGAACGCTGGAGGCGTGCGTGCTCCTACGGGGAGCACGCCCGTGCCCATTAGGGCATGGCGTGGAGGCCGTGGCCTCAAACATGAAAGAATGAAGGAGGGAAGGAGGGGGGAAGAACTGAAGGAGGGACACGGGGGTAGAGAGGCGGGAAGGAGGAGGCGTTGGGGAAGCAAGCGCGAAGGCCTGAGCTCCTCATTCTCGGAGCGGGTGAACCCGTGCACCGCCCGGGCCGCGCCCATGAACTGCACCATTGCATCGAAGTCCTCCGCCGTGCGCAACCCCCGCGCCGCAACCGTCGCTGCCGCCGTCGTTTCCGTTGTCGTCGTGTTCGTCCTTTCCTGTTTGTATATGCTCTTCCTCTCTTCTCCTCCTATTCCTCCAACTCCTCCTCCTCCTCCTCCAACTCCTCCTCCCCCTCCTCCTCCTCCTCCTCCTCCTTTGCCTCCTCTCTTTCCTCTCCCCCACTCCTCCTCCTCGTCCTCGTTCACGTCATCGTTGCCCTCCTTATCGTCCGTGGTTTCCGCCTGTTCGCCCGGGAAGATGGGCGACGGGAAAAAAGGAGGGGGTGGACTCGGGACGCGGCCGCACACGCTGTCGGCACGGGCGGCGTCGTGCCGCGCGCGGCCCACGGCTCAGCTCGGGCCTTGGAACCCGCCGTCGAACAGTCACAGCTTGTAGACCCGAGGGGCGGGACAACTCCAAGCGCTGACACCCCGAGAAGCGGGGCCATGCCAGCAACACATCATCCTCAAGCTGGAGACCCGAGGAGCGGGACCACCCGCAGCACTGGCTCCCCGAAGAACGGGGCTACGCCTGGCAAGCAAGAGCGCTGCAAAACGCAGGGGCTGCAGCGCAAAATGGAGGCCGATAAACAAAACGATAGCACCCCGAGAAGCGAGGCCACACCAGCAGTACAACATCCTCGTCCGTGATCTGTGGTTCTCAACGAGGCAATATCTGCGCAAGTTGCACCAAAAGGCAAAACAGCGACTAGACCTTGGAGGCCAAGGTTTGGATTTCCAGAAACTCTCGAGGCCCAGAAGTGAAAACTGGGGCCGAGCCCGAACACGCCAACGGGACTTGCGATCTTACGCAAGCCGCAACCGGCCCCTTCCCCAGGGACAGCCGATTGGCAACCCTCGGATCCAAACGACGGCGACTGAACCAGGACGGCCATCCCCTGGACTTGCGATCTACTCCAAATTCCTTATTCATCGTCCCCCTGGTCTGGTTTTTCAAGGCGCCCTTTTTGTAACTGGGGGAGTCTGGTTTATTCGGGCGCTTTCTTTGGATTGGAAGATTATTGAGGCGCCCCGTCGAAGAGGGGTGGCCGGAATATTAGGTCCCATTTGGTGGGGGGTCTGGTTTTTTAAGGAGTGTCCATGAGTAAGGGATTTGGATTAACGCCTTTGCTCATCGAAGACAAATCCCCTCCAGCCGACCCCCAAATCCCCAGGCCAGGTCCTCCAAAGGTGGCCTCAGCCGACCAGGACTCCGGGTCTCAACCTTCTCTGGGGCGAAGCGGCCCACCGAAACACGCGTTGTAGAACCCGCGTTCCGCCAAAAAGCCTCTGGGCCCACAATTTCCGCAGCCATGGAGGGCAGAGCACCAAGCAAGGGAATGCATCATCATAAATACAGAATACCCACGGCATCAAGGTCGAAGGAGACGCGCTACAACTCGATTCCATGACCTTGTCTGTAACACTTGGGCTACGTAGTCAGTCGCTGTCGGTGAGTTGGGCGAACCGTTACACTGGTCAACGAGATGCTTGCCTAGAAATCCTCTCGGTCCAAGACTGGCACGGGCCGCGCACAACACGCAATACCACTATGTCCTTTGCAATGTACAGCATCGGGTGCGAGTGGCGCGAGCACTGCCACCCAGTCATGATTCCACGCCGCGGTCGGCTAGCCAGCGACGTCGTGGAACGGGGGGGGCTGGGCCAACTTCGGGTGAGATGCTTCGCGCAACTTTTAGCAATCGACTGTGTACGCCTCGACAACCCCGTCGGGCCAGCTTCGCGTCCTTGGAAAGGTCGTGCTTTCCTCTCAGGGCCAAGCCAGGGATAAGTAGCAATTGTGGCGTGTTGCTGCTGCTGCTGCCTCCGCTTTGTCACCCGCTAGCTGCTGACGACGGCCGGCATGTTCAGGTGGTCATCCTTCGAATGCGCCCCCCCATGGCTTGGCAGACCCGATCGCGACGTAGAACAACTCCAGCGCGAACCCAGTCTGTGCAATCCAAAGAGATGCCGTGGTCTGCAGGTGTTTGGTCTGCAAATATTTCTGCTATAGAGCGCCCACCCCGAGCATGCTTGGGACATCCTCGTCGGCGCCCCCGCTTCGCATGAGGTGTTTCAATTTGCAAAACCTCGACTGCCGCCGACCTGTTCGACCTGAATTTGAAACATTGTCGGCAGGCGAAGCACGTCGCTCTTTCCGCCAGCCCGAAGCTAAGTTGCAAGAAACGGTCCGGTGTTGTAGAGGTCCAGCAATGCCTTCAAAATGACACGAGAAAGTATTTTGGTTCATGAAAAACATAAAAGATCTCCGCTCGCTTGCTGCTTTGTTGGGGTTCTGCAAGGGGTCCCCGTTTGCCTGCGCACATAGTGCGCCCGCCATGCTGACTGATTCGTTGCTTGACCCAAGACCAACAACACCTCGTATATCGCATGCCTCCCGAGCGTTCGCCTTCGCTGCCGTCGCCATAGATGCAAAGGGGGGCCATGGTTCGGTGGGCAAATTCCTACGCGCGCCAACACTCACCCATGTCGGTTTCGCAGTCGGCCGCGTCAAGTGGTGCAGGGCACGTCCATTTCGTCGGTGTCATAACTGATTGAGCGGCGCAGTCTTTTTGATCATCAGCTCGCAGTTGTGCGTAATCCGATGTCTCGCAAGCGGGCCTCGACTCGCGAGTCTGACACTGGCCGCAAATCCGGTGGATGTTCTTCTCTTCTCTCCCACATGTGCAATCCGCCCCATGTCCTCCGATGTGGCCCTTGCGCCTCCCAGTCCAAGTGCCCGCGCAAGCGGCAGCTATCACAGCACCGCGCCCCGCATGTCGTCCTTGGCTGATTGAAGATCAGAAGCGCCGTCGCACGTCAGTATTGTCCGCTCGGTATTCGCGCCGTCCCGTTGCGGTGCTTCGCCGCTGTCTGCAACTGCTTAACTTGGATACATTGCATCATCGCGTCGGTCCAGGCGGCGTGGTCACCGGCCTGCTCCGGGCCAACGAGCATGCACGCGCGGCCTTCCGCGCCGGTTCAAATGTCCGTCGTTGGCCCCCCTCATCCACGGTCCCAAACAACTAGAGTCATGCTGCCGCTTGCTCCGCGTCTGTGCTGCCGCTGGTGCCCAGAGTGCATCTGGAAGTCGCCGCCGACTTGTGGGCTGCGCCATAGATTCCGCCGCAAAATAAAATCGTTTGGCACAGGCGAAGGTTGCACCTGCAGCTCAGAAATGACAAGCCAGCGTCGTCGCCGTCGAAGTCGAGTTGCGGCATCGAGCACCTCCCCGGCCAATGTCTCCAACGCGCCATGGCGCACTGCCGTTCGGTCTTCAAGTTCCCGGAGGGGCAATTACACCAGATGCGCGATGATTGCAAGGAGTCGAGGCGATGGGCCCCTGGCGAGTGAACGGCATCATTCCACTGATGGCAGGAGGCTGTAATTTCACGGCAAGGCGCCCAAATCGTCTCGAGTCCCCTCGCGCACTGCGTTTCTGGTGAGTGCTCCGTCGCGCCGTAGATTTACCCCCGCGGTCGATGCCCAGGATTCTTCCATCGGCGCTCTTGGTGCTGGGCGCCAGCGGCGCAGGAGGCGCGTCTGTGACGAGATTGGCTAGCTCGGGGCAGCTAGTGGAGATGGCCAACTGACTGGTCTACCATTGAAAAGTGCGGCTTCTTGCGCCCCCGGAAAACATTATTAGCGGCAGGATCAAGCGGGTCCGAAAGTTTACGGAGGATGCCCAAGCATTGGCTGCCCAGGTCGTCAAAACACGCTCGCGGACCAAATCTTCGGGGCGAAATCTAAAGACCTCCGGCAACTACATGTACAACAGCGCGCGAGAGTCCATTGGAATGACTCAGACCCATCCAGGCGGGACCGCGCGGCGCGCGCGGGGCCTCTGAACGCACCACTCTGCCTGGGGATTCTCGCGGACGCATGGATTGGGCGCGCCATAGCGCAGAGCCGCGGCGGGAACCGATCTCGCGGCAGCCTGTCCCGCTCCACAACAGCCCAGAGAAAAGTGTCATCTTTCGATATCAGCGAGACCAGAGAGCAAGCGCCTAAGCGCTCTTCTCAAGAATTGCCTGCCACCGCGGCGCCCCACTTCTACTGCGCGCCCTTGATTCAAAGCATCTGCATACCCAAAAAAAGAGCGCCAGTGTTCGGTTGCTTTCCGGCTTGGTCTGTAGCAAAACTAACCAGAGCAACCATGCGCTGCGGCGGCCCTCGGCGGGGAGTCTCCGAGCGTCAGCCATCGCTATCTTGTCTGCGCCGCGCCCCTGATGTGGCTCGCCCTGCAGCGCGCGGTCGAAGTCTCCCAGCGTCCAGACGGGGGCTGGGCCCCGCTCGGACGTTTCCCGTAGGTCGCCGATCACGATGACAGCGTCGCCGTCGCCGTCGGTCGCGCTGGCCAGAATCTGCCGGGGCGCGGCCTCCCGCGGGCCCATGATGTCAGTGGGCGTGTCTGCTCGTCCGCCAGCCCGGAAGCATTCGTCGTCGCGTCGCAAACTGTCCGCTGTGACCTGATATGGCGTGCCGGGCTTACTATTGCACGTCGTGAGAACCCTTCTGTCGCGCCCTGGACCCTCGGGCGGGCGAGCGAGCCGATGTCGGCAAGACGCTACTCCCATAAGTATGTGAGACCATGCCGTCGCCGATCCGTTGCGTCCAGCTGGAGGCGCGCCTTCGTTCGCCAGCTGACTGCAACTGGCAGCGTGGCCGACTTCTCTGTCGCTGCGAACTTGCGTTCCAAGAGCGCGTCGTAGTGGTCGCGCGCGAGCCCGCCATTCAGCGCGATGACCTGCGCGCCTAGGCGGGCGGAGTCCTGGAAAAAACGCCCGCGTCCAACTCGCGTCCACGAGCTCCCCGCTGTCCTGCGACATTGAATTGGCCCTTCTGCTCGATGCCGTCGGCGGAACAATAAAGGCGACGTCGCTTGCCCTTGTCCTTGGTCTGCTGGCGGCGGGGTGGCCGCATCGAAGCAATTCCTTTTGATGCTGTCTGGCGGGCGGTCCAAACTTGAATTGCGGGCGCCG